CTTTAATTTTTTTGAGGAACTTCCACACTGTTTTCTTCCTCCAGCTTCTTCTTAACTGGCATAATCACTTATTCCAGTTTTCAAAACGAAGCTTCTTTGTTCAGAGTAGGTTCTGTCCTTTTCAGTCCTTCAAGTTTTCTATTTTCCTATTGTTCACCACACTATAAATGTGTTGCTTCAAATGCCATATCAGTTTACAAATACCAGAGACTGTGAGCACCTGTCTCACACTTTTCAATACCCAAGACCTTTAGACTCTGCCTGATCCTTAAAGAACCAGTAAGTTACTTCAACAGAAAGTAGAAGACAACATTTTATATTTCAATAAGGTTTCAAATAAAATGGGGTGAGGGGAAGAGTGTTCAGTTCAATTGAGAATTAACCAAAAACTCAAACCTAAAATTAAAAAGCCAAATATTTAATGCACCCATAATATGTGCTTACCTCCCAGCATTCTAGTTAACCAAGGCTTTAACCATCTTGGAAATCAGTCTACCATAGACTTCACTGTCCATAGTTACTGCCAGTCTCAGTGTGAGCTTAACTTCTGAACCAGCAGTTATATAATTTGCTACCTATATGTTCTTGTGACAAATAGCTTTTGTGCAATATTTAATTTTTAGCATTATTTACATTGAAGAACCATCTGGTTTGGAGACACTACAAGTTATAAGGAAAGTTTTAAAAATGCTCTTTGGAAAAATAGAAAGGGTTGGCTGGTATTTCCTAGAATGATTTAGGTACAATCCCAGATATTACTAAATCATTTAAACATATGCTGCCCTAAAACTTTATCACTCAACAGATTCATCATGTCTTAGGGCAGCAAAGGAATCGAAGAAAATGAGGTTTTAAGGAAAAAACTAAAAGCAACTCACCTGTACTGCATATTTATAAAACTGTTCTGACAGTTCTCCTAGCTCCTCCCTAGTTTTACAGGTGCTGGGAAATTCCTCAAGCCGGTCCAACTGTTCCACTTCGGCAACAGGATATGGCTTCTCCTTCAAGACCTGCACAATCTGGAAGCGGCACAGGCCTGTAATCAGCAAAGTATAGTGGGGCTTGGGCCAGTTACTGCCTACAACCTGAACCGCCAGGGCAGCTGTACCAATCCTGCAAAACACACAAAACAGCAGTGTTACAAATGTTCAGTGCGGTAGAACAGAAACTTGCCTTAAAAGGTGTTGCCTTTGCGGAGAAATCCTTTAAAGAACAAAAATATCTGAAGTGGAAGTGAATTATTTCTCTAATTTGGCATCCAGCACATGGTCTGTGAAGTCACTACCATGAGCAGGGGGGTAAAGCAGGCCACCTCATTTAATTAGTACCTCCTTTAAGATTAGGTAGAAATTCCTAAAACTAAACCTGTAAAAGTAGTTGACAATTATATAGCTTAAATTCATTTTGCTAGGAATGAGGCAATATTACACCAGAATAAGTATTAGCATTTTAAACAGACTGAAATATAAACAGCATGATGTTAAATCAAACTATGATATCTCTGTTCTAATAACCAGTTTTGCTACCAACATCAAGCCAGGTTTTTACAGAATCGATCAATGAAACTTCCGCAAATCTACCTTATCACAAACAGTTCCCAAATTTGAGAATTAACATCTATGTCCATAAATATGAAGTTTCTAAATGTGGGGACTAAATACTAAAGGGCACACATTGTCATGAATGACTGAAGGTATAAATCTAAGTCTGTCCTAAGTGGTAAACACTCCACCTAAAACTAACTTAAAAAGTTCTATTTAAGTCTTAGCTCCTTATCAGAACATAGAATTCTGACCAAGTCATGTATAAATTTAATTCATAGAAAGGAAGTCTCATCCAAACTAAGCCAAAATTATACAAAATACAAAGATACACATTCAGAAGACATGTCTAAATTCCAAACTAAAATTATATCTTCTCCCCTCAGCCACAGGAAGCGTTGTAATTTCAGAAAAGAAACTAGAATTAAGGTGACTAGAACTCCCAACACTCTGGGGGAAATGGTAATCCTGGAATATCGCAATTGCCCATTTCAAACATACTGAATCATACACAAATATAGTGTGACTATTTCAGTGAATTTGCTTACTTCTGTACATTATTTATTCTTGACTACTTCTTTATAAATTATTCATTCCATAGATTATGTGGAAACTTTGGCTTCCCTCTGCCATTCAGTTTGAGTAATGTCCATCTTTCCTTCACCTTCTCAGTCATATGTGTACATGGATAAAAATTGACTTAAACAGTATCTAAAGCCAAAAAATCAGGAAGATAATTTGGTGGGGAGAAAAAAATATGACATACTTTAAAAACCTGAGATAATTTGGCAATTACCTAGTATTTTATGTGTTGTGGCTGCTTTTCCTCAGTCATTAATGGTAGTAAGGCTATACCTCCCACTTCCTGAAAACCAACTCAGACTGCCCTTAGAAAGTTGGCAATACCTGAACTGATCAGAGACCAAGACTATAATTCCCAGTGGGTGACACCCACCATTGCTTGTGCAATGCAGACAGGTCACATGTCTGCCAGCAACATTAACAGACAACAAACAAACCAGATCCCTCACCTAAGGGGTTTGCAAACTGGAAACCAAGGAGAACCCAAAGAGATATGAGACAAGTCCAAATGTCCAGATTAGGAGAAAAATTTTAATTATTTGAGCCATGTCCTTGATTAAAGGTGAGACTAAAAATGAGTTTTCTTACAAAGCAAGCAAAATACTTTTATTAACTGAGAGGATGATGTTCCAAACTGAAAAGAGATTAAGTTGGATTTATATTATGCCTTTTCTTCTAATGAGATAAAATATATAAACGTTTTTACGTTCATTAATTAGGTTTTACTTTAAGTCATTTATAGCTGGATAAAATATATCCTTTTTAAAGAAAAACAGGACCTGTGAAAAGGTAGATGGCTAGAAAGAATACTCGGTGAAAGACATTTTGGGTGGAAAGCTCTTGTGAAAAAGGACCATGTTGAATGTTATTTTAGACAAATTTTACTGTATTTGAGCTATAGGTTATACATATATACGTAAAAAGTAAACAAAACTAATCTAATATTTTCCTACTATGATACGTAACAGGCTTTGTATCAAGTCAGTCATCTTTCTAAATATTCTAGTTCTTCTACTAATATTTACTTTATTAGGCATGACCAAAAGGCAGCATTTTGATTTTAATACATTCAAATGAGCGGTGTTTCTTCCCTTTAGGTAGTAGCTCTGTAAATTCACACTTTAATTACTGTGATATTTTATAGTTCAAAGAATTTTTGAAATTCCTAATAGGACCTCCTTTCGGAGTTGTAAAATATTGTTTTAATCCAAACAAAGTCTGATTATGATGGGTATGACTTATGTGCTTTGGAAACTGACTTAGATAATTTAAGAGTTCCAAAAATATTGAGAATCATCAAATGTAGTGGTAGGAAAATCTAAAAGCAGCACTACAGTTTTCTTAGTTCTGGCTATGTTGAAAGAATATGGGGCCTCCCCTCCTTTCTCCCCAATCTCCATTTGTGATATTTACTTTTAAAACTACCTATTTGGGGAAAAATAATACCTCCAACATATAAGTTTATTGCTCTGTAGCCTATAAAAGGCTTTCATAAGTATTATGTCATTATATATTGCCTTTCATTGCTGTGAGGAAGGTAGCATTATTTCTTTATTATAAATTGGTAACAGATTCAAAAAGGGTAAATAGATTAATTACCCATGATTACAAAGATATTGCATAGGCGAGGGGGCCTGAATTAGGTTTAAAGACAAATTTTACTTTTAGCACCACAATGGACAACGTAAATTTTGTACCATAAGAAGTACAAATAAGTGCTTATTAACATAGTTTCTAAGTAGGTAAGATACTGGAAAGCACACCTATTATTTACTATCTCCTGTTTACATCTTAATTACCCTTGATGAAAAGAAGCATTTCTACCAAAACTCTGGAATGAAAAGTTATACTTCTTTTGGAAAGAACAACTGAGACATCTTTCTAGTTTTCACTTGGCTTCACCCTACTTATCTTCTTGAATATTTGCTGATTTCTGGCAAAACTCATCATCATGATTAATAACTTAAAAACAAGGAGTCTATTAGGATAGCTCCAAGTTCTCCAACAGATGAGATTTCTGTTGCTACAGGACTTCTGGTTTTCACTCCTCTATTAAAACTTCATTTCTGGGGGTGCCTGGCTGCTTAGTCAATAGAGCATGTGACTCTTGATCTCGAGGTTGTGAGTTCAAATCTCCACACTGGGTACAGGGATTACTTAAAAAAATAAAAACTTCATTTCTGAATTTAAGAAATGCCACTTATAGACACTTTCCTTAAAAAGAGTAATGTAGATTTAGGAAAATCTAAGTGGAGCTATTCATTACATACTTGCTAACACAAAATATTTTTAAATGTTAGTATCATCAGGTAATATTTTCTGAACAACTAAGAATGCTAATGGATTAAAATAGGAGTAATGTCTGGACAAAATAAACTGTGCATCTGCTATATGTAAAGCATTCATTTCTTGTAAGACAAATGCCAGGGAAACTAATTTGTGTTCTCAGAGGAAGAAGCCAAAAAATGAAGAGGGACTGAGGAAATCAGCACTATGAGGAAATGAAGTCACGTATCCTGAAGAATGTAAGGCTGGAAGAAGACTGGATGACCATCCTGAAATGCATGAAAGGACAGTGTATACGTAGTGCTAAGTCATTATCCATCTTCACTAAGAAAACAATGTCTCACTCAAGTCCAGTCTAGCAGGATGTCCTGAGGTGGCATAAGAGCCAAGTTCTATGGATAATCCAAAGCTCCTCCTTTAAAAAGGCTCCTGTGTCAGGTAATGTGTCCACTTACTAACATATAGAAAGGGGCTGTCCTGTTCAAAACAATAAAGGCAGTTCTTCAGGTAAGTCAACAGCTGGCTCTGCTACTTTGTGTGACAAGGAACAGAGGGGAATAAATTACTTCTGCTGCTCCTTGAAGACTGAGGCAATATCACCTGGATGGGCTAAAGGAAATAAGAGACAGGAGTAGAGCACCTGGTCTTCCCTTTGGGTACTTCTACCATCTGGAAAAGCAGGTAACTGAGGAAGGACAGATTTACATGTCGAAACAGAGTAATATTATGGGTAACTCAATATCTGCACTATTAAAGCTTTTAAAGAATGTTGAAAGGTCATACTAGAGAAAAAAAGACCTTGGAGGCTCATGCTAAGGAATGCAGTACAATCTTTCTAGATAGATTTTTCAAGTAGCAGTTATTTCTAGCATAATAAGATGGTCCTTACAATGCCAGAATTCCAGAAAGAAATTTCAGTGTATGTTTTATGACTTAAATGATTAAATTTTAATATTGCTATTAATTTAAAACAAAGGCAGCAATTTGAACATCAAGGATCAGAATACATATCATCTGAATATATTAATGATTATTTCCAAGCAGGAAAATTTACTTATTGATGTTTTAGAGGGACTTACATAAAAGAAATTAAAAAGCATCCAAAATCCTGACAGAATATACCAACCTAAAATATGACTAAATCTACTTCTGAAATTCACAGCGTATCCATAGGTAATCAAAGTACAGAAATAAAACAACAAAATCTAACCATGAGCACTCTTCCCTCAACAAGCAATCAAATTGCCTGGGCAGATAAAACAAAAAATTGTGGCATAGCCATAGGTTTAAGGATGGGGTCATATGTAGGGAAAGCAGAATCCAATACAATTTATCAGAATTTACTGAAACTTAAAACTGAGGACTGATGGATGTGGGGGGGAGGGGGGATGGGCATGGAGGAGGACACTTGTGGGGATGAGCACTGGGTGTTATGTGGAAACTAATTTGACAATAAACTATTTGTAAAAAAAAAAAAAAAAAAAAGAATTTACTGAAACTTTAAAAGTATCCAACTCCATACAAGCAATACCTGAAACAGATCAGATGGAAGCTAAAATGTTTTTGGTGTGTGAGAAATGCAAGGTTTTTACAATGTGGGCTAATAAGAGACTGTTACAGGGTTTTGGTTTGTTTTGCTTTGTTTGGGGGAAGGGATAGATAACCAGTCTCCTTTCAGAATATGCACATAGTTATGGTCTCTCCTTCTAAAAAAATATATAGTCACAAGATTTTAGATAAAAATAAGGCATTCCTATCCCTCTCGAAATCATTCAGTCCCCAATCCCTAACTTTATAAAGGAGTAACTGCAGGTAAACAAAGGCTCTAAGTTAAAAACATCTCAAGAAGAGTTAGGATAGGAGGCAGGGGCTGAAGAGGTGTGTTTGAAGAGAGCAAAAGCATTTGCTGAGCATTCGGTACACCCCAGTATTAGCCAATAGAAATATGAGTCATATATACAACTTTAGTAGCCACATTAAAAAGTAAAAAGAAACAGGTGAAATACTAGGATTTTAACCCCAAACAGCTAAAATACTACCATTCCAACATTTAATCGATGTAAAATTTATTAGTCAGCAAAATATTTTTCATACGGAGTTTTTAAACTCTAGTGTGTACGGTATACTTAAAGCACATGTGTGGTGACTAATCACACAATCACACTAGTTTATCTGGGACTAAAGGTGTTTCCTGGAAGGCAGGACTTTCACTGCTAGAACTAGTTCAGTCCTCAGCAAACGGGGACACTTGGTCACTCTAGTATCTCAATTTGGACGTGCCACACTGGTGCTCTCTAGCCACGAGTCCGGCGGCTACAGTACTGGACTACTATCAAGCATGGCACAAAGATTATTGCATTCAGTATTCATAACACATCCAAGAAATGAATGCTCTTAGTTTCCAAAATATAGAGGAATAGGCACAGGTGGGTCTCGCCCAAAGTCACAAAACTAAGGCCATGCTGTAGGGCAATCTAGTGGTAAGGCTGGCGTGTCAGAAATGTTAAGATATGAAGAGGAGGAGCTATGAGAAGATGAGAAAGTTCCAGAAAGGGAAGCAAGGGAAAACGCGGATAGGAACTGAGGGGATAAAAAGGCAGACAAGTAGTGTGGAAGAGAGGCACCCTAAAGTTAATGAAAAGGGTAGTGCAGTTTATGACGGCACACTTAAAAGAGAAAACGTGTGGAGTACCCAGTGCTTCACATACGAGGTCAAAAAAGATAAAAAGAAAAAAAGACGACGGGGAGGAAAAGAAGGAGAAGAGGGGCCTGGAAAGTTAAGAGCACTGACTCAGGAGTCTGAGGACCTGGGGAGGCGAGGGGGGAGAACTTAAATTAACTGTGGCCGCTAACTGCAGAGTTTGCACTACTTCACGGGTCAGGGTTCTGTCACCGCCACTTTACAGGGGAGGTGACCAAGAGGCAGACCACGCCGCGGAGGCCGCCCCTGGGCGCCGAGGCCGGACCCGGCCCGGGCCGGGGTACAGAGAGCAGGCCGCGCAGCCCGCCGCCGCCGCCGCCGCCGCCGCCGCCGCGGGGGCAGTCCGGCCTACCTGTGCAGCGGCGGCAGTTCCTGCGCGTCGCTGGCCGGGTCGGGCGTGTTGGGGATAACCCCCAGGATAGTGCTCTGCAACGACGTGCCCTTGAGCAGGCGGCTCCGCACCAGCTGCAGGTTGCGGGCCGAGTCCACGCTGGTGCGCATGGTGGAGCCGGGCAGCAGCACGCCCTCGTGGGTGAGCAGCAGCGGGAGGCGGCTGGGGATCTGGATGGGGCTCACCGACGACATGGCAAGGTCTGTTCGCCCTGGGTGGGCGTCAAACGGAGCAAGGCAAACAGCAGGATACTACCTCCGCCACCCAGGCCAAAGCTCCCAGCCTCCGGCGCGCCAGCGCGCCGCCGCTTCCGGCTCCGCCCTACGGCCCGCCCCCGAGCTCCAACCCCCACAGCATCGCACCGCCCCCTCCCGGAGCTGCCGGGCAAAGTTCGTGCGGTAGGTGGGTAGGTGGACGGAGAGAGGTGCGTTCTAGCGCCTGCGACCTTCGCTCTCTAGGCCTCCTCTAACAGGCTGTCCCCTGTGTTGAGGTGAAGAGAGGATCGTGTTTAAATTGTACCTACCTGAAGTGTTTTTAATTTTTCATTCGAATTGATTTTAGATTTCTAAAAATGTTGCAATAAAAAGTTCCCAATAGTCAATTATAATAACCAGGAAATTAACATCACTGTTATATAATCTGTAGAGCTTACCCAAATTTTTCCAGTTTTCTTACATATACTTTTCATTTTTTCCTTTCAAACCGTGGTACTTTTAAACAGCATTGGTCTGTTATCTTACAGACTGTCCCTCAGTTGGGGTTTATCTGATGTTTTCTTGAGATCAACATTATACGTTTTTGGCAGAAAGACTACAGAAGAGATGTGACCTTCTTGGTGATACATGATGGTTGAAATGTACTATTAATGGTTATTTTGACCTTGATTACTTGGTGATTTTGACCACCTCTATATCTGCCAGTTTTCCCTACTGTAAGTTAGTATTTCTCTCTTTATAAGTAATAAATATATTGTGGGGAGTTACTATTACATGTGTTAATTGGAATTCTGTAAGAAAAAGCTTCACATCTCCCTCATTATTTACTTTTCACTCTTTTTATGTTAGTAGGGATTAATAGATTTTTTTGTGTGGATTAAAACCCAATAGTATCATGTATTTCATTGCTTGAATTGTTTCAGATTTAGCCATTAGGAGCCTTTTTGTGTTGGGATTTTACTTCGGTTTGGCTGTAGGTTACAAATGGAAAAATTTCCCTGATTCTGAAGTCCAGCAATGCTCTTAGAATCCAAGAGGGAATTGAAAGTTCATTCAAATCAATAAACATTCACAGAGGGACTGCTAAGCACAAGGCCCTAGGCCAACAGTGGAAAGTGTTACAAAATACAAGTAAATAAAGCCCTTTCTTTGACATTATCTTACTTTCTTTCATTCATTCAGTAAGCAATATTGGAATACCTACTATGTACTAGATACTACTTTAAGTGCTGGAGATACATCAGTGAGCAAGACAGACAAGGTTATTGCTTTTATGGAGCTGAACTTCTACTGAGGGAAACCAACAATAAACAAGGAGAATAATTTTGGATGGTGATAAGTCCTTTAGATGGTCAGAGAAGGGTTTGCTGGACAGATGACATTTCAACAGGGCCCTGTGCATGGAGAGTTAGCAATGAAAAGCTCAGGGGGTGAGGGTCCAGGGGGTGCTGTTTCAGGCCAAAGAAACAACACAAAGACTTTGTGGCTGGAATGAATTTTGGATATTTGAAGAATCTGCTCCTGAAATTCAGTGAGAGTGAGGGTTGGTGGTATGGATGAGATAAGAGAAGTGGACAGGGTCAGGTTATAGAGGGCAGTGTAAGAGGTAAAAGATGGGTTAGGGAGTCTAGAAAGAAGTCGAGGTCTTACTCTAAGCCTAATACAAGCCTTTGGCAGTTCAAAGTTGCAGAATAACTTTTCTGGTGTATGTTTTCAAGAGACCATTTTGACTGCTGTATGCTGTCTGTGAACGCTCCTGAATTTTACACATCAAGTTATACTTCTAATTATACAGAATCCTATGAAGATGGTTGTGAGGATTATCTCACTCTATTAGAATATGCTCATGATTTTTTGAATCATCTGACAGAGCCCTGGAAGTTTTAAACTGAAATTAGACAGTTTGCAGAGACCCTGAATGGCTGGGTTAGATTTTTGAGGCTCTTAGTGTTTTAACAAAGATATTTAAAAACCATCTTATAAACTTTGTGATAAGTTTTTTAAACACTTAGTTTAATGCTTTTTAATGCTTTTAATTTGTACACATATACTCCTGCTCCCATAACAACAATAGTAACAGACAAAATTGGTATTCTATTCATATAATAATCATTGGATTTATCTTTTAAAACAAAGTTTATTCATTTTGAGAAAGAGAGAGAGAGAGAGAGAGAGAGTGTGTGTGTGTGTGTGTGTGTGTGTGTGTGTGTGAGTGGGGGAGGGCAAACCGAGAAGGAAAGAGAATCCCAAGCAGACCCCGTGCTGTTATTGCAAAACCTGACTGAGGGCTCAAACTCACAGACCATGAGGTCATCATGACCCTGAGCCGAAATCAAGAATTCAATGCTTAACTGACTGAGTCATCCAGGAGCCCCAAGGATTTATCTTTTTAAATACAAATTCGCACTGCAGTATAGAAACTGCAGTGGGAATAGGTCCATGCTTAAATTGCTTGTTTGCTGAATGCTTTCTTTTAGTCCTATGACTATATTCCTCTGATGGCTATGTCATCCCACCTGGGAAAGCAGTAAGACTCTAAATGTGAGGTCTTTAGTGACTGTGTGGCTTTCCTGACTCCTTCTTCAACAGGCTCTACGTCTACAACATTTATTTATCCATCAAAATATTCATTTATTTATTATTTTTAAATGTTTTAATGTGTATTTTGAGTGAGACAGACAGAGTGTGAGTGAAGGAAGGGGCAGAGAGAGAGGGAGACCCAGAATCCGAAGCAGGCTCCACGCTCTGAGCTGTCAGCACAGAGCCCGAAACAACATGAGGCTTGAACTCATGAACCGTGAGATCATGACCTGAGCTGAAGTTGGATGCTTAACTGACTGAGCCACCCAGGCTCCCCTCCATCAAATATCTATTAAGCATCCACTGTGTGCTGAGCAGTATTCTAAATTCATAGATACATCAATGAACAAGACAAACAAAGTCCCTGGTTTCAAAGAGCTTACATTCTAGTGAAGTAGTCAGAAAATAAATAAGCCAACAAAGAAATAATGGCCATTTCAGAAAGTGGTAAGTAAAGGAAATGTAATAGGAAACTATGTGGAAGGTGATAAGAGGAGGGGAGCAGTGTTCAGGGAGGTCTGGCAATGTTACTCCCAGGAGGTGGTGTTTGAGCTGAGACCTGAATGGTGAGAATGGACCAGCTCTATGAGGAGCTGGAAGGAGAATGTTCTTGGCAGAGATTAGGACTAGTACAAACATCAAGGTGTGGAGGAGCTTCTTAGTTGCTAGAACAGAGGAGAAGGGCAGGCACTGGAACGCGGGGATTCAGCAGTTGGGAAGATGCCGGTGATGGCTTTTAAAAGCTATTGGAACTAGCAGAAGGAAATAAACCTTGGGGCAGAGAAAGTTGACTCTCACAGGGTGTGAATGGACTGGAAGGGAGAGGTATACGAGGAAAGTCTGATCATCTAAACCTCTTTGGGGCCTGAATTGCAGGTGCCTCTGCTCCTTGCTTTGGGTACTTTCCTTACACACTGATGTATCTTCTGGCCTTAGCCACTACATCCTGCTGGGTGAGTGAGAAGCACAATGAGGAAATAAGTCAGCTCCTCCAGAAAGCTCTTTCAGGTTACCTTGCTGCAGTGGCCTCCCCTCCTGTTTCCAAACTGTTTCATCATATGCAAATGGCCCATGTCTAAACCAAGTTCATAATCATGACTCCTCCCCTGCCAAGAAATGGGGAGCATATAGGGTTGGAAGCACCTGTTTCCTCTTGTTTTTTATTCCTGTCACATCCTGGTCCCCACCCTGACCACAGTGGTGGTCTCACCACTAATCAGAGTAAATATGCTTCCACTCTGGTTCTTCCCAAGAGGAAATTGGGAGGCCAAGGAACTTCTCAAGGACTGCCAAAGAAAGTTCTGGAAGGAATTTCCCTGGCCAGTCAAGGAAGCAGAGACGGGCCTCATCACATTGGAAGGTGGCCCATGTTAATGTGTGGCAGAGCTCCAGTTATGTTGAGATGAGCACTTTGTGTTCTGCAAACATATATCAATTGTACATGTTTGCATTTCATTAATTTCCATTTGGTTTACACTTCACTGTTTTTAATTTCCTGGACAATTGCGGTATAGAAAAGTTCACACCCTTGAAATCCTCAATGTATCTCTCTGCAGGTATGTAAAAATAAACCAGATTTTTACATAAAATAAGTAAAGCAGATCATATGAGAGCAGAAAGGTGAGAGAAAATCTGATTTATTTATTGGAGAACATGGTTCTTAAAGACCAAATAAAGAAATTAGGTGTGACTCTTTTCATACATCTTGATATTTCATTTTCTTCTTACTTATTAACATAAAGCAAAATGTCAAGCCACATTCATGTTGGAACTACACTCATTCACCAATTGCAATGGTAGGTTGGTGCAGATGCAAACATTTATTAGCATGCCACTGATGCAGCCCCTTGCCAATACATGACTTGCAATCTAGAATTTGTTGCCTCCACTTCCTACCTTCGACCATTTCCTCCCCTGGAAACCTTTACATAGTGAATAAGCTGTACGGCAGTGGTGGTCCAATCCCCAGGGGCTTCTATTGAATGCTACCAATTTTACTGTAATGTGTTCTAGGCTGGTTCATGGCAGCTAGAAATCTCATTTCTTCCCAGAGTCTTGAACAAAGTGTGTGATGCTCTCTCTTACCCAACACGTGTCCTTCTCTCTCTTTGTTCATTTCCATTATCCCTGAGAGATTTACTTCTATCATCACATGGCAAGTATACCTCATAGCCTGATGCCCCATCTGGGAAGTCTGTCTTGCATGGTCTGTAGCAGAATTCTAGAAATGGAATCCACCAGTTCTGGTTGTGATTTGCTGAAAGGAAGTAGGATGGGAGGGAATGGGATAAAGGCATTTGAAAAATTCTTTTCCCAAGACTGGCTAGTGTGCAAGTCTACTTACTTGAAGCACAATCCGATGTATATATTTTTAATGTTTATTATTTTTGAGACAGAGAGAGAGAGCAAGCAGGGGAGGGGGCAGAAGGAGAGGGATTCTGTAGAAATCCAAACCAGGCACCAGACTCTGAGCTGTCAGCACAGAGCCTGATGAGGGGCTCGAACTCACAGACTGCAAGTTCATGACCTGAGCTGAAGTCGGCTACTTAACTGCCACCCAGGTGCCCCACACAATCCAATACTTGAATGTCAAGAGCTCTATCTGAATACTAGGACAGGCTCCATAATTTGTGGGGCGCAGTGCCAAATGAAAATGTGGGGCTCCGTCTTCCAAATTATTAATGATTTCAAGATAGTGACAGCAGAGCCATAGCTAAACCTGGGACTTTCTGAATACAAGGCTCTGTAAGGCTCTGGTCATACCCCATGTTATATACTCTCTTTTTCCATTCCTTCAGAAATATTCCTAATTTCCATTCCCTCTCCCAACCCAGGTGCATGCGTGTTCTGGGAGTGAGTCACATACTCAGAAAGGCAAAATGGAAAGCATTTTAATATATTTTAAAAATACCTTGGGTTATTTAAGGTTCCTAAATTACGTCCAACTCTACTCCCCCAAGTCTGGGAAAACTAAGAGTCAGAGAATGGCAAAATTGCATTTTAAAAATTTATTTACACGTCCATTTGTCCTTTATTTACTGAGTACCTGCTATATCTCTAGCACTTTCCCAGGCTCCAAGGATTCAATAGTGAACAAAATAGACATGTCCCTGTCCTTATGAGGCTTTCTACTTGGAGCAGGAAATGAACTCTAAACAATAATGACTCACACAAATATATAATTACAAACTGGGATAAGAGAAGAAGCATGGTTCTATGAGCAGGCTTGGCCCAAGGTAGTAGGGTTGGGAGTGGGTGGTTAGAGAAGGCCTCTCTAAGTGACCTTAAGCTTTATCCTGAGATGTTTAAAAAGAAGGAGCCATTCCAGGCAAAGGGAAGAGCAGGTGCTGTGACAGTGGCCCAACTTTCTGCAGGACCTCAGCACACTCCCTTCAGGGTGATGTCCTCCTCTCCTGGCTGCTCAGGGCTGAATCTAAGCTGCTCTTAACTGTTGCCTTTTCAGATTCTCTGTTCCTGGGAAACGAAAGATTGACAGAACTGAAAATGACCAGGAAGAGGATATACTGGGTCCCCAGGTCTTCTGGTGGCCTCGTGAATCTTGGCATGGACATGAGTGACGACATGGTTTCAGGACTTAGTTATGTAAGTAGGTTTCCTTTGCATCAGAATACCAGGAAACTGAATTGACAGGTCACGAATGGTCACAAATTAGGTTAGAAAATTTTGTCTCATATTTATTCAACCTTGATTTCTTTTCATGAATCTCAGGCTTCCACAATTAGATGAATCATAATCCCTGGTCATGACACACCTTCTTGGTCTGTCTATCATCTATCTATCTATCATGTGTCAATAACTTATTACCTATTTATCTATGTATTTACTTATAATAAACACTGGTAAACCCATCACCAACTCACCAACTTGTACCTTAACAATCACATCTAGCTGTTGATCCTTCCCCCACTTCATTCCCCAGCTTTCCCTACCCGAAGTCACCACTGTCCCTGATCTTTTCTCATCAATCCCTTACTATGCTTCTAAGATAGTATTATTTTTTTTTTTACAGAATAGCTTTTTTAGTTTATTTCATAACTAATAAAGGACTTGAATATATCAAAAACTCTTTCAACTTATAGTACAAAACAAACTACCCAACCAAAGGTAGGCAAAAGATTTGAATGGACGCTGTTTCAGAAGATATACAGATGGCAAATAAGTACACAGAAAATATTTAACCTCATTAGTCTTTTGGGAAATTCACAGAGAAGCCACAATGACATACTATTATGCATAAGATAGTATTATTTATCCTATATGAAGCCCTAAAGACAATATGTTTTTAATGTATTTTATTTTATAAAGACAATATGTATTTTTAATATATTTTATATAATATATTTTAGTTCTTCCCCACTGTATCAATTATTTTAAATGTTTATTTATTTTTGAGAGAGAGAGAGAGATAGAAACAGAGCATGGGCGGGGAGGGGCACAGAGAAAGGGAGATACAGAATCCGAAGCAGGCTCCAGGCTCTGAGCTGTCAGCACAGAGCTCGACATGGGGCTCAAACCCACATACTGCAAGATCATGACCTGAGCCAAAGTCAGCCATTTAAGCAAATGAGTTACCCAGACACCCCTATTTCCCACTTTATCAAAAGGGTCACATGTAATGTTTGGGGCTTACTTACTTACTTACTTATTGATTTCCTTTTAGTAGGTTTACTCCCAGAGGGCGACTTGGTCTCACATTCTATGGGTGAATATAGCTCCCTTTATTCTTGTCTACAGTGTATATCACAAGTAAAAACCTGGGGAGGTAGAGTGACCTGTCCTGAGGCACCCAGTGAATGTAGGGCAGACCCAAGGCTGGGACTCAGTTGTCTCCTAACTCTTGGTCCACTGCTTATTCCCTACCCAGCAACCTTTCTTTTATTTTTTTTTTTTACTAAATTTTTTAAATCTTTATTTATTTTTTAGGAAGAGAGACATAGTGTGATTAGGAGAGAGACAGAGAGAGAGGGAGACACAGAATCTGAAGCAGGCTCCAAGTTCTTAGCTGTCAGCACAGAGCCTGATGTGGGGTCGGACTCATGAAACGTGAGTTCATGACCCGAGCTGAAGTCGGATACTTAACCAACTGAGCCAGCCAGGTGCCCTTCTTTTATGTATTTATTTTTGAAATTGAAGTATAATTGATGTGAAACTTATAAGTTTCAGGTGTATAACATAATGATTCAATATTTATATATAGTGCAAAAAGGTCACCACAATATGACATCCATTGCCACATAGAATTACAAATATTTTCTTCTGATGGGAAATTTTAAGATTTACCCTCTAAGCAACTTAAAAACATACAAGGCATTATTATTAACTGTAGTCACCATGCCATACCTTACATCCCTTGATTTATTTATTTTAGAACTGGAAGTTTGTATCTTTTGATCCCCTTCACCCATTCTACCCACACCCCACCCCTGCATCTGGCAACTACCGATCTGTTCTCTGAGCTCTTTCTTGGTGATATTTTTAGGTTCCACATATAAGTGAGATCATATAGTGTTTGTCTTTCTCTGTCGACTCTAGCAGCTGGATGTTAAAAGATCCATCATTCTTGGGTGGCCAACACTCCAGGACAAAATGAGGTCAGAAAACTGATGCTTTTTTGGTTTTTCTTTCCCAAGAAAACTTACACCCTAGAAGACAGCCCCTGGGGCCAGCAGGTGACGAAGCCTGAAGCACAAGGGACAGCAACAGAGCTCCACTGGGGGAAGTATGATGCTGCCTGGAGAACAATGATTCCCTTCCGTCCCAAGCCAAAGTGAGTCCTGAGGGGGAGGTGAGGGGTAGTACCCAATTAGGACAATGTTCCTCAGATGCTAACACCTATATCCCTCCCAAAGATGTCTCTGCATATTCATGTCACCCACCACAGTCAAATATCTCTAGAGCAGGCTGAGGTGCATCAGAAGACAGTCAGATCATTCATTCATTCACTCTTTTATTCACCTATTCATTCATCCAACAAAGATTCACTGAGAACCTACCAGACCCTGTGTTAGACCTCAGAGGAAAAGTAATAAGCAAGGCAGACATGATCCTTGCCCATCATGGACCACACATTGGGGAAAAAGACAATAAGCAAGTAAAGTCATAAATAAATATGTGGTTATAAGCTGCTTGAAGGCAGTGATATGAAGGTCAGCATGGGGGGGAGTTGTTGCTGAGGGACACTGGAACAGTGACAACTTGGTAGGTGCTTGGTACTTAAGCTGTGTTCTGGAGGATAAACATGATTTAACTAGGCCAGAATAAAGGAAGAATGATCTGGGCAGAGAGAACAGCATGTGCAAAGACCTGGTCTTGAGGTGGAAGGAATACAGCATGGTGTGTCCAGGAACTGAGAAGGAGGCCAGTGTCACTGGAGTCATGTGTGATAATGGACATGAAATGAGATTGCAGAGGGACATAAGCCTCCAGAGGGCACATTAAAATGTTAGTCTTCATTCTAAGAGAAATGGGGAGCTGTTAAATGCCCTGTGATGTTACCCTTAAACTTAAGAGTTAAAGAAATTCAATACATCCTTCTTCAGTTTAAATCAAAGTTTAAAATAACTATTCCCAAATGTCTTTCTGACTTCTACAATCTTGCCTTCAGGGTCCTGCCCAGAATTAGGCACATATTCATTTATTTATCATCTATGAACAGGAGAATGATTCTAGAATCATCCTAGAATCACCACCTGAACTCTGTTTTGTAGTAATAATTCCCTCTTCTCTCTCATATGTTTGCTAAGATTTTATCTATCAATGATTGGACTTGTTTGCCTTTTTTTTGAAAACCTGAGCTCCCATCACTACATCGTTCCCACTGAATTGCTCTTATCTCCACCAAGAATAAAGAATGTGGGTCCTTCGGTGTGCCTGGGCAGCCTCATGGAGAGAAACATTCTGCTTCTACCTGACCTTAGGTGTAGTGGCACCAGCTCATAGATTCTCACCCTTTCTCTGGAATCATACATGGCCCCACACATCTAGTGATACCTGGTACAGACTCCCACCCTTCCTAATCCCTTTTCTCTCTAGCACTGGGTAAAGCTTTGGCTAGCCTTGCCTAGAACAGACAGCCATGGGTGCTGGTGGGCAGTAAGCCTGGTAAGGGTCAGCAAATGGAGAAGAGGCTGAGCCCAAAACAAAACAAAAACATCCATGCATTTGGCATTTTGTATTCTCATCTCTCTCCCCAACTCTTTTTTCTTTTATTTGAATTTTCTTCATATTGAAACATATAGCATTAAAGCAACTTTGAAAGAAAAAAGTAGAAATTATATGTAATCCCAACACCCTAGTCCAATCATTATTTCTGTATTTGTGAGTCATTTCCAGGGATATGACCTTATCATTCTAATTTATTTACTTTTGATTCCATTTTTATTATTTTTGTGAAAATTATATAAGCAAAATATAGAAAACATGAAACAGTGAAAATCTCTTTTCTTTTACTTTTACCAATTCTAATCCCTTTGCCAAAGTCAGCCCTATTAATAATTTGAAATACATGTATATATACATATATAAATGTGTATATATAAACATGTAAATGCACTTGTACATATAATACGTAAATATGTGTATATATAAGTATCTAAATGTGTACATACAATTGTTATAGTGGTTGACTTTACATACATAGTTTTGTCTGCCTTCTCTCATTTCTTCCTTTTTTTTTTAAGTTTACTTATTTATTTTGAGAGAGAGAGAAAAAGTGAGTGTTGGGTAGGGGCAGAGAGAGAGGGAGAGAGATAATCCCAAGCAGGCTCCATGCTGTCAGTGTAGAGCCTAACATGGGGCTTGATCCCACAAACCATGAGACGATTATCTGAGCTAAAATCAAGATTTAGATGTTCAAACAACTGAGACACCCAGGCGACCCCTTCCTTTTTTTAATGTTTATTTATTTTTGAGAGAGAGAGTATGTGTGCATAAGTGAGGGAGGGACAGGATGGTGAGGGGAGGACAGAGGATCCAAAGCAATCTCTGTGCTGACAGCACAGAGCCCGATGTGGGACTCAGACTCACAAACAGTGAGATAATGACCTGAACTGTAATCAGACACTTACTGACTGAGACACCCAGTTGGTTTTTTTATGTAAGTTAAAATACTTTTTTACTTTTTTTATGTGAGTAAAAATGTAATGAATTTCTTGACCCACAAGTGGCCTTTTTTCCCCCCTTGTTTACTATGCTCAGAGCTCTTTTCATATTCTACATATAGATCAATGCTATCTTTGGACTCTTGTGCACTGTTTTCCACATATGGGTATACCCTATTTCTTTTCTTTCTTTTTAAGTCATTCCCCTAATGATGGGTGTTTTTGTTGTTTCTGATTTTTAAAAATTATTTTAAGTTTATTTTATTTTGTGTGTGTGTGTGTGTGTGTGAGAGAGAGAGAGAGAGAGAGATGGAGAGAGAGAGTGAGAGAGAGAGAGAGCGCACGTACACAGCAGAGGTGGGCAGAGAGAAACAGAGACAGAATCCCAAGCAGGCTCTACACCACAGTGCAGAACCCAATGCAGGACTCGAACTCACAAACTGTGAGATCATGACTTGAGCCAAGTTTAGGAGTTGGATGCTCACTAACTGCACCACTCAGGCACCACAGTTGTTTTCTGGTTTTTAACTATCACACATAGTAGAGTAATGAAAGGAAAAAAAAACCTGCACTTTTTCTCTGTCTTTAGACCACTTATCATAAAAGCAACTGGATGACCTGTGACTTCTCTGCTAGGTTTCCTGCCCCTCAGCCCATGGACGATGCTGGCTTGTTCTCCTACCTCACGTTGTCATGGCTCACTCCACTCATGGTCCAAGGTTTGCAGAGATGCTTGGATGAGAACACTATCCCCCAACTGTCAGTCCATGATGCCTCAGATAAAAATGCTAAAAGGTAAAGCCCTATTGACAAACCATTGGGTTGGTTAAAGACCATGTCCTGTGGGATTGGTGACCAAGGATGCTTGAGAGTAGCAGGTAGGGTCCATCATCAGACAACCAGAGAATATTGGCTCTACCTTGGTATCAAGAACCCTCACCATATTTCATGCACCCCCTGAAATGGTACTTATTTCATATGTATGGGCTGGAGACCTTTGTCTGGAGCAAGGATTCACATCTTTTACCAGATTTGCCGAAGGGCCCAAGACCCCAAGAAAGATAAAAATAACTGCTTCTTGTCCCTTTTGCTTTTTCCTCTGGATCAGGTGTTTACCTGTGTCACTCATCATTAAATTTTGGGGTAGGGTACTAGTCTCCTAACCCTTAAGTCATCACTAACTAGTTTTGTGGTTGAGTTTCCTACATGACCTACCTCTCAAGGTAATATGAAGATTAAATGAGGTGGGGAGAGGGAGGGACAAATAAGGGACTTCAGATGTTCTGAACTCATGTTCCTACCTCTAGCTACTTCCTGAGAGACACCAGGTAGTGAATCACATTATCCAAATGTGCTCCAGAAAATGGTAGTCCCTCAAGAGCTTCCCTGAAGAGAGCATTCTGTGGTGAAGAGAGTTTGTGAAATGTGGCTTACTTATTGCCAGGTCTCAGAGATTTGTTTACAAAGCAAATTAATGTACTTAAGGCACTGGGAAAACAGAAACTGATTCAACTTTGAACCATTGCTTCTCGGAATTAGTCATTAAGGAAAAAAAAAAAAGGTTTCAAGGAGCACCAACCTCTTGCATAATGCCAGATGTTGATCAGAATCTCACTGGCTACCAGCTATGATGTCAGGCAAGTCACTTACCCTTTCCAAGACCTGGTGTCTTTATGTATATAAAAAAGGGGATTATAAAGTTTATCTCATGATCCTTCACAGAATTGTTGTAAGAATCAAAAGAGATGATAAATTCAATATGAAGCACCCGGAAAAATGCCTGGTGTATAATAGGCAGCCAGTTAAGTGTTTGCTTGTCCTTCTGTGACCATTATGAGGATAGGATCTCCTGATCCATGTTTATTTACCTGAGACTCACTGATTCTGCTGTTTTTGTTCTATAACTCACATGAAAGTGTCCACCAATACTTTTTTTTTTTTTTTTTTTTACAAATCACTCCACTTTGGGATGTTTATTTGAAAAAATAACTATCTGCGCATTCATACCTTTAGAAAGGCTTTTATTTCTGTGTTCACCACTGAACTGGCAGGGTTCCTAGGTGCATCTTCCCTAGTCCTTCAGAAGAATTACTTTAAGTTCTGTGAAGATTTGCTGACAAATTGCCAGCCACCAATCGTCACTACCGCTCACATCAGCCACAGCAGTGGAATCACCATTGTCACCACCATCACCTTCATTATTACTATCACAATTTGTATTTTTCATTTGCCCATCCAATACCTCCCGTGACCATCACAATAGAGTTATGAAGTAAATAGGACAGATGTGATTTCCCCCAAATTACACATGAAGAAACTGAAAACTCAGAGATGTAAAATTATGTTCCCTGAATTATAGTTAATGGAGGAAGTGAAGTCTGAAACCAAGTCTTTTGAATAATATTTTCTTCATTTATCTTAATGTTTATTTATTTTTGAGAGGGGGAGAGAGGCAGAAAGAGAGAGGGAGATACAGAATTGGAAGCAGGCTCCAGGCTCTGAGCTGTCAGCACAGAGCCCAATGCGGGGATTTAACCCATGAACCATGAAATCATGACCTGAGCCAAAGTCGGATGCTTAACAGACTGAGCCACCGGGATGCCCCTGAAACCAAATCTTTTGAGTCTGATCATTGTGGCGAGAAATTGATACAATTGCTAAAAGAGTTGAGCTCAGGCTATGGGAAGACTTGGATTTGTTTAGTCAAGTGGAACCGACTCCAGAGCTTTTTATCTCTGTGGATTTGGTGACATGTAAGGATAGAGCTGGAATGAGGGGAGGTGGCCCCACAGTTTGGCCCACAGATAATGAAATCCTCTAACACATACAAGTGTCATGGGACATTTTTGCTTTAGTGACCTAGGGCCCAGACCCTCCTCTCTCCTCTAACTTATTTGGCCCATAGCGATGGGCATGGGATGGGACAGTTGTTTTATAAATTCAGGGAGGAAAAAGTAGCCTGGAGTTTTGATGGCAGGTGAGGGAAGGTAGGACAGGAAAATTCTAATGGTGTTTGTTCCCATCTGGCTTTAGGCTGGGCACAAGTGTCCATGGCTGCAGGAGTAAAGGGTAGAAAGTTTTAGAACTGCCTACCATGAGAGCCTTGGTGACAGAACATGCATAAGCAGTGCTGCTCTCAGGCCCTGAGCAGAACAGTTGGCTCTCCATGCTCTTGCTCTATAAGGAGTGGGAGCCTCAGGTAGTCCTGGAAACCCTCGGCATAGTCCTTGATGTTCTCACTATGGGCAGTGGTCATTGCCTTCCAGACCGTGGGACATGATGGAGCCAGGAAGTAAAAGGGCAGATGCCAACATGGTGATTGCAGCTGGGAGGCTGGATTGTGGATGCGTGGAAGGCATCCTGGGCCACATTAAGACTCTGGAAGCCATAGGCAACCACAATGACTATTTTCCAACCACTGGCTTCTGCACCAAATATAATACAAAATAAAAGAGAAGTATAAGAGAGTCAACAAAAGTCTTAATTCCCGTCATGATAACTTCTTGGATGCTTTCTGAGGTATTGCTTTTCAATTTTTCCCCCAAAGAAATTCTTTTGGTGTTCTTGTGTTGCTGGTGTAATGCAAACAGCCTAGTAGCCATCATTCACTCAGAGTGGTAAAATGAGGGCACACTTTTGTATTTTTTAATTTATTTTTTTAAGTTTCTCTTAAACTTGAGTTAATTAATTAATTAAAATTTATTTAGTTTTGAGAGCGAGAGAGAGCAGGGGAGGGTTAGAGAAAGATAGGGACTGAGGATCTAAAGCGGGCTCTGTGCTGACAGAAGAGAGCCCAATGCAGAGCTCAAACTTACAAACCATGAGATCATGACCTGAGCCGAAGTCAGACACTTAACTGACTGAGCCACCTAGGTGCCCCTAAGGGCACACTTTCAATTAGGCAGTCTAACATTGGGGCACCCTTTGGGATGCTTTGAATAAGGGGAGGGACTTTTTGGAGGTCAGAGTTTATGGTTTTATGAATCTTAATCTGTGTATAAAAAGAGTGACATTATTCAAAGTCTTAAGCTATTTCCTCAACTAACTGTATTTCAGGGTAACAAAATAGTTAACGAGAGAAAGATTTTTTATAGAAAAACCCAAACTACTTAATACAGAAGGAATGCCAGAATTAGAAATCACCATTTTGCCAGCCCTAATGGAAGTGGATCTAGGCAATGGTTATCAACGATGAGGAATGAATGGCAGGCTGATACACCTTAATCCACTAATACCCTGAACATTACTAATAATGGGAAATCTGACCTTGAATCTTCTGATGTTATGCAAAAGAAGTACACTACATCACCTAGTAATATTTTTACCAGCTGACCTGAATTCTGTATTTCATTAAGCCTCTAGTCTAACTAGGAGTTTAATAGAAATACAGAGCATAGAAGGTTATATTAGACAACAGCACAGGGATGTAATCAGTCAAATCCAGAATGTGGGAAATTCTGTGGGACCCAGTTTCTTCAACAAACAAATGGCAGAAAGTGCATAGAAGGGGAAACTGTTACAGGTTAAAATGAGATGCAGGAAATCTATCAGATTTGTCATTGAAATGCAATGTGTATGGAATTCCTGGGTGGCCCAGTCACTTAGGCATCTAGCTCTTGATCTCCCCTCAGGTCTTGATTTCAAGGTTGTGAGTTCAAGCCCCATGTTGTGCTCCATGCTGGGTGTGGAGCCTACTTTTTGTTTTAAATAGTTTATTGTCAAGTTGGTTTCCATATAACACCCAGTGCTCATCCCCACAAGTGCCCTCCTGCATGCCCATCACCCCCTTTCGCCTCCCCCCCACCCCCATCAGCCTTCAATTTGTTCTTGGCATTCCATTGTTTGCCTCTCTCCCTCTCCCCCACTATTTTTTTCCCCTTCTTCTCACCCATGGTCCTCCCTCCGTTAAGTTCTGGAGCCTACTTTTAAAAAAATAATTACATGCAATGTATGGACCTTGTTTGGATCTTGACTTAGACAGACTAACTATAAAAATTTGATGTAATTAGAGAAATTGGAATACAGACTGTGTATTTAATGCCATTAAGGAATTTTATTAATATGTCATAAATATATTAGTATATAGTAACTAATAGTTATTAATAATTAATAGTCATTAATTAATAACTATTATATGGTCACTGTAGGGTTTTTTTAAAGGCCTTATCTGGAAGAGATACATACTGAAGCATTTGTAGATGAAATGATATGTCTGGATTTGCTTGAAAAATCTCCAGTGCCCCCCAAAAAAGACAAATAGAAAGACAGAGGAAACACTAATGTCAAATAAAAAATATCAATCATTCTTGAAGCAGAGGAATGGGTGTTTAGGGAGATTCTCTATGGTGTCCTCTCTACTTCTGTGAGATTTGAAAACTTCTGTAACAAAGCTCCTAGTCTTGCAAGATGTAGCACGTGCAAAGAGACTTCACTTGGTTCACTTTTCCTCTTTTCAAGGCTCTGCCTTCTTTGGGAAGAAGAAGTCTCAAAGCATGGGGTGGAAAAGGCTTCAGTGTTTCGAGTGATGATGAGGTTTCAAAGAACAAGGGCTATTTTGGATGTATTTCTGGGCTGCTGCTTCTCTATCCTGACCGTGCTAGGGCCGGTAAGTGTCTGGCTTTGTGATGTTTGGGGGACTCCAGGGTTTAGAAATTAGCACGTTAGGGGCACCTGTGTGACTTAGTCGGTTAAGTGCCTGACTTCAGCTCAGGTCATGATCTCATGGCTTGTGAGTTCGAGTCCTGCATCGGGCTCTGTGCTGACAGCTCAGAGCCTGGAGCCTGCTTCAGGTCCTATGTCTCCCTCTGTCTCTGCCCCTCCCCTCCTCTGTCTCTCTCTCTCACTCTCTCTCTCTCCCCAAAATAAATAAACATAAAAGGAAAAAAAGAAAAGAAATTGGCATGCTCAAGTCCATGCCAGGTGTTGGGGATTATTTGCCTTCCAACTGCTACTCAGAAGATAAAGAACTTTTGTATGCAGTGTAGCTAGGAGTAATTAGGAATGTGAAAATGTGAACTCTTTTTTGGTAATGTTTATTTATTTTTGACAGAAAGAGAGAGTAACATGCGTGCAAGCTGGGGAGGAACAGAGAAAGAGAGAGACAGAGGATTCAATGTGGGCTCTGGCTGACAGCAGAGAGCTCAGCATGGGGCTCGAACTCAGGAATACCATGAGATCTTGACCTGAGCCAAAGTTTAACCGACTGAGCCACCCAGGCACCCCAGGAGTGTGCTGCAGCCATTGCCTGGGTTCAAACCTTGGCCCTGTCACTTAATTGCTGGGTGACTTTAGGCAATGTGTTTACCTTCTCTGTGCCTTAGTTTCTTCAAGGAACACTCCCATGACACTTAAGTGGTAGACCTCATGGAAACCCTCATGTATAAAATGGAAGGTATAACATTACCTGCCTCTCAGGGTAAATTTAAATGAGATAAATATATAAGGCACTTAGAACACAGCCTGACTCAGTATGAGCTGCTTTGAGAAATGGCTGAGCAGCTCTGGGAAGGTAGGTGGCAGGAACTAATGGTCTCCTCCATTTACCATGGTTGAGATGAACTAGCTTTATTTCCTGTCCTCCAGGTCCTCATCCCAAGATTCCGAGTGCAGAGAATAAGTCTCGTTGTCTCAGCTGGGGTCACACGCTCACCAGTTAGCCAGCAGAGCATAGGGCATTCTGACAGTCCAGCCTGGACCGCATGCCATGGGTTAGATGCAAGTCTTTCCAGATGGAAACGGGAGTGCTATTACCAGCTAAGAGGAGAACGAACATAGGTTAGGAAGGAAACGACAGCTGATGACACCACAGAGATATGTGACTTAGATGACAGAGTGCTGGATATTCTCCATTTGCCCCTCAGATCCACCTTCCACCATTGCCCATGCTGCTTGTGTCCCTAATGCATGGTCTGTATGGATCACATTAATAGGGTCCCTCTGCCCTCCGGCTTCTGGTTGGGTTGGACCAGTGGGAGACTCCCAACAGGAGACTGGGGGGAAGGAGAAAGTGAAGGCAGGATATTTATTTCTCTGATGGCTTCCTTCTCTGACACTGGAGGTTGGGGACCAGACACTCGGGAGGAGCCCTTTCTGTATGACTTTCTCCTTCTGGATTTCACCCTTCCCTGCCCCTCCAGGTCTGGAAGGTAACAGTTCCCTGCTGTACTAGCTCCATGTGCTCTGCCATCCCTTGCTGGATTTCCCAAATTCTGCCCACACCTTCTTAAATAGTCACTTCATCAGCTCCTGAGTTACCCCTTTTGGGTATGTGTTCTGTTCCCTGTCAGGGCAAGCTATGAGGTGGCAGAGCTGGGATTCAGATCTAGGTCTGTTCAACTCCTGTCTCCTCCAAAGGGACTATGAGCTTGAGAGCAAGGTTATGTTTTAGTAAGTTCTGCAGCCATTGCCTTTTGATCATTTTTTAAATGTTTTTATTTTATTTTGTTTTTGTGAGAGATCAAGCAAGCACAAGCAGGGAAGGGGCAGAGAGAGAGAGAAAGAGACACAGAAGCTGAAGCAGGCTCTAGGCTCTGAGCTTTCAGCACAGAGCCCAATGCAGGATTTGAACTCACGAACCACAAGATCATGGCCAGAACTAAAGTCAGGCCCTTAACTGACTGAGCCAACCAGGCACTGCAGTTTTGGTCATTGAATAAGCTCCCAACCTTGACCTGGAACCTTACATGTGGCTCATGTTTGATATGCCTGAAAGGATGGAGAGGTCTGAATAATCCAAACTCCTGTTTCCTTCTAGATGCTGGTTATACCAAAGATCCTGGAATATTCTGAAAAGCAGTCGGGAGGTATTGCCTATGGAGTAGGGCTCTGCTTTGCCCTCTTTCTCACAGAGTGCATAAAGTCTCTGTGTCTGTGTTCCTGCTGGGTCTTAAACCAGCGCACAGGCATCAGGTTTCGTTCTGCTGTTTTCTCCTTTGCCTTTCAGAAGCTAATGCAATTTAAGTCTCTAACACACATCACCACGGGAGAGGTGAGTGTCTGGGATTGGATACTGGAGACCATGCTTGCCTAGCCTTCCTCCAGGTATCCTCACTCTGGGGATGGTGAGAGAGAGAAAAAGGAGTTAGGAGATGAGGAAGAAATAGAAAGGAAATAATTCCTAGGATGAGTGTCGATAATAACCAACAATTACCTCTGGGGACAAGAACAGATCAACGGTAATCCAGGGGGATCCCACTTCCATTCAGAGGACTTGAAAGAGATTTATTGAACACATAGTTACTGAGGTCTACTCTGGGCCTGACTCTGTTCTAGGCCCTGAGGATACAGCAGTGAACAGAAACACACCAATCCTTAGTATAAGCACATTGGAAAGTGCATCCCCTCACCCAGTCTGGGGAGGAGGTTAAAGGAAGACATGACATCTCAGGGAAACCAAGGGAGAAGCAATTGTAGATTACCTCTCAGAGTGTTAATTCTTGTTTGCGAAAGAGGAATACTTAGAGCTGCCTGGTTAACAGTTCCCTGCTCTTGTTTTCCTTACAAACAAACAAATGACAGAGATTGGAAAAAGATGCTCCAACTTACAACCCACAGTCATAGGAGTATTGGAACTTTATATGCTTAATTTCATGTTCCCTATTTTCCAGTTGCTTACTAGTTGCCTCGAAGAGCATGAATTAATTTTATATTGAAACAGACATTTGATAGGGTGCCTGGGTGGCTCAGTCAGTTAAGCGTCTGACTCTTGATCTCAGCTCAGGTCTTGATCTCAGGGTCATGAGTTCAAGCCCTGTGTTGGGCTCCATGAAAAAGGAACAGACATTTGAATTTTTGGAAAATTGCTTTGACTTCTTACCCTCAGCCAGACCCCTTTGCCATCTGGCATCAGCAACTGTCCAACCTCACCTACTCTTATCTCCCCTCCTCCAGCCCCAGGTTGGCTTCTTACCTTTGGCCAGTCCTGGCTAACCTCCAGTTTTCAAACACACCAGGCATTTCTACCTCCAGGCAATGTTGGTCATGTTACTTTCACCCACTGTCCTTTTATAAGGTTGCCCCATACGAGCCCTCTTCAAAGACACAAACCCCTTCAGATTCTATCTATCCCTCAAAATACCAGTGTTTTAATTCCACAGGACAGATGTCCAAAAAAATGTCTGCTAAACTGACCACTGCCATCAGGTGGATGCTTTTTCTAAACTCAATTGGTAGCAAACATATTTGTTAACATTGTTACCATTATTCTTCACCATTTTATTAGTCTTGGAACTTTAGGCAACTTCTCTTTGAAGCTGTGGAATAAAAATAAGACCAGACTTACAAGATTGTTGTCTCACAGGATTAAATTAGTTAGCCCATACAAAGCATGTAGGAAGGGAACAGCGTTTTAGAAGTGTTATATTGCTGATTTCTGATAGGCCTTGAGTGCGGAGGTTCCTTGTTCTCCATTTGACTGAAGTTGAAATCCATGCCAGCCCTTCTCCCTCCTGATCTTAGAAGAGTCATCGTAGTAATTGCTAGCTTCCATTAAGTCTGACATTGACCCCAGGGCTTTACCTCATTAGCTCATTAGCTCAGTCTGTCTTCCAGCAACACTCTTATGCGGTAGATTTAAGAGTTATTGTTATTATTTAAGAGTTATTGTTATCTGTTATTACTCCCATTGTCACAGAGGTAGAAACTGAGGCAAGGAGAGAGTAGGAAATTTGTGCAAGGTCATGTGGTTGGTAAGCAGCAGAACCTGGCTGCAGGCTTCCAGGCTCTGAATCAGTGCACCTACCTGGCTTACCAAGGAGACCTTCTACATGACACTGGCTCTCTTTCCTTTTCCGAATGCTTCTGTTCTGAGCACCTGCTGTGTGCAAAGCCAGTTTCCCCAAATGGCCTCACAGAACATAAGACAAGGTGGCCCACTCAGAGGTAGAGATGGAAGTAGCTGCTCACCTGAGGAATCCTAGTGTTGCTTCCATAAATTTTACTTCAAAATTAATTTTAAAAACATCTGCATATGTTCTCTTTGGGAACAACATAGAATAGATGACTCCTTAGGCCCATTTACTTCCCTTATGCCTGGAGGTGACCACCATTATCAATTTGGCTTGTGTCCTTCTACACTTTTTAAAGTGAATTTAGATACATGTGCAAGTTACCCATGGAAAATATACTTTCAGATACACAATAAAATATTGTTAACTATGATTAGCATACTTATTTATCTTATAAGTTTTTACCCTTAAACCATATTTACCCATGTGCTCCCTGCCCCCCAGATAGCATTTTCAATATGCCAAAATTAAGTGTTTTATATGCACTATCTCATCAGTTGTCACATCAATGCTATAGAGTAGGTTGTATTATTATCCCCATTTTACTGATAAGGCAACGAGGCACAGAGAGACTGGATAACGTGTCTTTGGCTCCACAGCTAGTAAGTGACAGATCTGGGACATGAACTCTGACGAATTTGCTCCAGGACCCAATATTATTTAATACACTTTGGTCGGATGCTTTATTTTTCCCCACCAATGGACATTTAAGATGTATCCAGGGTTTTGCTGCTATAAGCATAGCTGTAGTGGATATCCTTGTGTGCATTTCCTTTAGCACATGCAAGTGTTTCTCAACAGAGAAATGAAATAGCCAAGTCATGGGGTTTATGCAATTATTAACTTTAAAAGATACTGCGAAACTCCCTTCTAAAGTGGCTGTACTAACCTATGCTTCTCATAGCTTTAAATTTTTTTTAAAGGTTCAGTCTGGGGCACATCCTGGGAACCAGAAGGAGATCAATTTAAAGTTAAAAGAAAATCACTTTTTAAGGCACTCAGATTGGTCATTCTAAAAGACATTCATGATTTGGGTCCTTAAATATTTCTTGATTTGGAATGTCAGCTTTTATATAACAACTGGACTGGGCAGGATATATTGGGGAGCAAGGAAGTGAACGGAAGATTCTATAGCATAAAAGAAAAAAGATGAAGGGTAGAAAGAAATAGTTCCTGTCTTAAAAAATTCAGCCATTAGTGGTAGTAGTATTAGTAGAATGAATAAAATAGGCTAGAACACTAGAAGCAAATCTCTGGGAAATCTGGATATTAGAAGTAGTAGCAATAGTAAAGTAGCATATGACTATTCTTCAGTCTATGTGTGCAAATCCTTTATATTTCATTGGCATTCTCACAACAACCATATGAAGTGGATATAATTATTCCAGCTTCAGAGGTGAAGAGACTGAGGCTCAGAGTGCTATAGTAACCAGTTCAGGGTCACACAGAGAGTAAGAGGAGAGGTTGGTGTTTATGTCTTTACCACCTTGCCTATCAATCCTTTTTGTCATGATCAGCGTAGCCCCTTCTCAGTACCTGACATGGTGAATACCCACGGGCTTGCTGTCTTACAGGCCATCGGCTTCTTCGCCAACGACATAAACTACCTGTTTGAAGGGGTGTACTATGGCCCCCTGGTCTGTCTCATCTGCTCATTGCTGATTGCCTGCACTGTCACCTCCTACCTCATTTTTGGACCCACCGTGCTCTCTGCCACTATTTTCTACCTCCTGATTTTACCATTGGAGGTAACGTTTTCTTTGCTACCCACTTGATGTTGGATGTCCCCCGGAACTACCAGGGTTCTGGAAGCTGGGGTACTCCTTGGGGAAATATTGACTCTTATTGACTGTTCATTCTATTGTGGTTAAGCTTCAGCTTCAATTTCATTCTCAAACTGTTCTCTGGCCACAAGGCTGGCCAAAGAAATAAGAGGTGAATATGACGTGCCATTCCATCTTATAGGCTTCTGGGAGGGTTTATCTGCCTCACAGACTTTCCTTAGTAGGTATCCTCCATGTAAGGTTTTTGTTCCTTCTCTTCTACCTAGAATATGGTAATGAACTAGCCTGGATAGCAGTTAACATTTATCTGAGCACAGTATAATGGGGGAAGGGAAGTAAATATGCTGACAAGGATTCAGGTGAAATATAATCAGGCAAAACAGGAAGTGACTCTTGTATTATGTGCACTCTGAATTATTGAAATCAAGTGTTTTGCTCCCTCAGCGTAGGTATTCTGATGAAAAGGTGATTGTAACTGTTGGTGGGTTTAGAGTTTCCAAAGGCAAAGGAGTAATATTCGTTTAGTGAGCCAAATCCTGGCTTGGGACGCAGGAGAGAAACAACCCCAGGATGTGTGAGGCAGGTGCTCTAAGGCATGATGGAGAGGTTTCCACTGGAATATCTTCAGCAAGGCCCTGGAATTTATAGAGTCACAATGGATTCAAACAGTGTAGATTCTAACTCAGGTACTCAATCCACACCTGGATTTTACCATTGGATATACTCCTGGTTGCCCTACTTCTGCTGGACTGAATTCTTCTGCCCTGTCTAAAGAAGTTCTTGCTGCAATCTGACTGCAGGTGTTCTTGAACAGAAAGATTGTCAAGATACACCATCATACATCTGAGGTCAGTGACAAGCGCATCCGAGTGACCGGTGAAGTTCTCACCTGCATCAAGCTGATTAAAATGTATGCATGGGAGAAACCATTAAAAAAAATAATTAAAGGTACAGAAAATCTGGTTTTCAGCTCAGAGCCTTGGGATGTCATGGTGGGCCAAGCCTCTCGCCGTTTGGGGAGTTCTTTCATGCTGCGGGGGTTATTCAAAGTTCTTTGGAGAACGTTGTTATGGTTAATTCCAGTGCACTGGGTTTTTTAATCTCTTAGACCTCAGAAAGAAGGAAAGGAAACTATTGGAGAAGTCTGGGATCTTCCAGAGCCTGACCACTGCATTCTTGTTTATGGCCCCTACAGTGGCCACAACAGCGATGTTCCTCATCCACACGGGTTTACAAAGGAAACTCACAATTTCACTAGTAAGTGCTCGGCGTACTTTGTTTTCCTCCCATACCAATGGGGAGTTTTCTTGGGTGTCCTTTCCTAGACCATGACCTTCAAAGGTCTGAAGGTTTTGCAAATGGATAATTGGTGTTGATTTTGACTTTCCAGATTTTTAGGACGCTCAAACTTTCTTCCATCTCAACCTGTCTGAGAAACTGACATCCCTTCAGTAGCAGCTGTGGGAGGGAGAGATGATAAAGTCATCTGGGGATGCAGGGGAGGCAGAAGGTGCTGTAAAAAAACCCCGATGATTCTGCTTACATGCCTTGGAATCCTAAATTAAGGAATTTCTTCAAATCCAAAATGGAGCCCAAAAATATGCTTTAAAAAGAAAGCTAGAGCTTATTTTGCCTTGTCTTTGTGGTCTGACCCTGGCCCAGAGAAGTAGCAGCTGCCTTTTAGGGGTGGAATCCCAGTTCTCTGTGGAGAAAAGTCGGGGTGCTGCTTTGGGAGAGGTGGGAATCCAGATGGGGCTTGGGGCAGGACACTGTACCCAAAACAAGATAGGGAGCACTGGGAGTCTGCAGCCAAGGGCTCATTTGTGCTCCAGACAGCAGGCACGTCTACTTGGCCCAGGCACACCAGAGGAGCACCCCTGAAGGTCTGAGGGTGGATGCAGGGCCATTTACAAAGAAAACTCTCAGCAGAAGTTTAGGGCCACACTGCACTCACACAGTGAAAGATGAAGAAAGAAGGAGATGGGCATGGATTGGAAGGTCCCCAAGGTACCAGGGGTCACATTCTGGGATCCTGAGAGCCAAAGGTAGCCTGCTGTAGTCAGAAAAAGCCTCCAGGACAGAGTGAGGCATGGATTAGGCTTGAAGTGCAGGGAGATTTTGAATATGAGAAAGGAATACAGTATCTAAGGCAAGAAGAATAAATATGATTGTTAACAGCAATAATAGTATCAAACCTATTGACAGTAGAAAACTCACATGTACTTTCTCAGTGTTTCCTCAACTTTGTTACCACTTCATGATTTGATACTATGCCAATGGGAACACTGAGCTTGTTGGGGAGGGGACCTGGCCAAAGTTGCAGAATCACCCAGTGCCAAGCTACACAGGAGCTAGGCCTACAGACGTGGAGATGTTAAGACGAGTGCTCCTTCCCCACTTTTTCCAGTATCCCCAAAATACTGGCTTGGCCCCTGTCAAGTGAAGGACATGCCTGTCAGAAGCTGTAGGGTCTAGCTCTGTGGCTTCTGACTCAGGGACGAGGGCCTTAGGGACTGGAGAGAGCAGGACAGGGATGTGATGCTCATTGCCTACTCCCCTCTTCCTATAGGCCTTCACCGTGTCAGCCACAATGAATCCCATGCGGCTCTCAGTGTTCTTAGTGCCCTTTGCTGTAAAAGGCCTCACAAATTCCAAGTCTGCAGCAGAGAGGTTCAAGGTGAGTGGTCAGAGGACTGTTTGCATGGCTCTCTGCTTGGGTGCTCGTTTGCCTTCGGTCACCATGATGTTCCTCCTGAGCATGCCCCAAAGCCAAGGCAGAGTCCAGCGTCAGTGCAGAGGGATTGGCTAACTCAGTGACTTCCTGTACTGAGGCTGGTGTGAGGACTGGGGAGACCAATAAATCAGGTCCCAGGGAGATCTTAGGATACTATATACAAACCAGGTCTCAGATAAGAGGTCTGTAGACCCTGTCCAGTTTTATATAGGGTTGCCCTGATGATTTTGCTTAAAAATAATTATGTTTGTTACTTGCATTTAAAAACTGGAAATTTTATATAAAAATCAGATTTCTGGATTCCTTTGAATAATCAGACCTGGGAACACCAGACCCATATTCTCCTGTGGCCACAAATGCCTGGAGCCTAAGTGATAGCTGCCCTATTGAGATGAGGCATTCAGATACAGTTTGCCACAGCCTCCACTGTGCTCTATTGTACCTCCAACACTGGGACTGTTTTTCCTACCATTTATCATCTTAGCAATGGTCTACGTGACTTCTTTTTTTTTTTTTTTTTTAATAGTTTATTGTCAAGTTGGTTTCCATATAACACCCAGTGCTCATCCCCACAAGTGCCTTCTTTACATAGCTGGTCTTGCCCCTATAGTAGCATCTGAGTTCAAAAACCCTAATCTAAACTAATTTTAAAAAGCTATTTTATAGTCATCTCATTTTATTTATTTATTTTTTTATTTTGAGAGAGAGAAGGGAGGAAGAGAGAAAGAGAGAGAGAGAGAGAGAGAGAGAATCCCAAGAAGGCTCTGCCTGTCCATGCAGAGCCCCACCTTGGATCCAAACCCATGAACCACGAGATCATGACCTGAGCTGAAATCAAGAGTCTGACACTCAACTGACTGAGCCACCTAGGCACCCCTAGTCATCTCATTTAAATGCATGTAGTTCCCAGCCTATATCATTCACTCATTCATTTATTCATGTGTTCAAAAAAGTCATTATTGAACCCCTACCACCTGCCAAGTACTGAAACTAAGAATACTACGGTTAATGTGACCAACAGGGTCCCTGCTCTCAAGGAGTTACAATCTGGTATTAGAAATAGACAGCTAGCATGTGAATTAGTGGTCAAAGAAGATAACATCAGATCACATGAAGAGCTACGATGCCAGTAAAACAGTGTGATGTTCTAGAGAGTATGTGGAGGAGGGCTGGGGCAACTTTGGGTACACTGGGCCCCGGAAGGCTCTTCTGCTAAGGTGAGTTTTGCTCTGACTAATGATGACTCAGCTTCAGGAACACCAAATACAAAAGCCCGGAAGCTGGAATGAACTTGACTTGTCTGAGTAAAGACAGTTCTTTACTCATCAACAGCTCCAGGAGCTCCACCCCCACCTCCTGCACTGTGACTTCGCTGCTGATCCGGGCCCCCTGCTGCCTTCTCCCTGTCTACTGACACACGAAGCTATCCCATCCTCCTCTTTGTGCCTGTTTTCACCTGCAGGGCAGGCAGAGATGAGGAAGCTACAGTCTGGACTCCGAAGTGGGGAGGGGGGGTGCGGGGGGAGGGATGTCCATGGAAAGAATGCCAGGAGAGACAGCTCAGAGTTCAGAGAGCTTTTGGCTAGGGATGGGTGTACTTATGGTGAGAGAAAGGTGCAGAAAGGGTGAGGGTCAGGGCAAAGATCTTGAACCCTGTGCTGCCCCTCATGGAGACAAATAAGGGCTGGAGTTGCGTAGGGCTGCCTCTTGGATGGGCACTAGCTCTCTGAGTCTCCTCACTCATCAGGATGTCTTCAACTCCTTCTTCAGTCACTGAAGTTTTCTATCTGGCCATGTAGGCATTTGACTTTGAGACCCCCAGGCTAGAAGGGGAGGAATGATACCTTCCTCCTCCTTTTTTTTTTTTTTTTAATGTTTTCTTTATTTCTAGGAGAGAGAGAGAGACAGCGTGAGCAGGGGAGGGTCAGAGAGAGAGGGAGTGACAGACTCTGAAACAGGCTTCAGGCTCTGAGCTGGCAGTCAGCACAGAGCCCGACGAACCCACGAACCGCGAGATCATGACCTAAGCAAAAGTTGGACGCTTAACCGACTAAGCCACCCAGGCGCCCCCCCTTCCTCCTCCTTTGTGCCCCCTGGTGCTATAAGCCACCTCCCAGCCCACCGTTTGGCTTTTGAACTCCCGGGGTACCAGCTTCCTAGGGCAGGGAGAAGACAGCTGTGAGCCCTCAGGGAGGAGCCCTCCTTGCAAGTGGCCACAGGTAGGAGGTGAGCGGGCTGCTGTAGCTGTGGAGGCCTGTATCTTGGGGGTCTAGAGAAGGTGCCCCGATGGGCACTGTGGTAGGGGTCTCGACCATGTTTCCTCTGTGGTGTTTGTTAAAAAAACAAAACAAAACAAAAAAACAAGGACAACTGAAAAGCACTGAATGACTTAAACAAAATTAGACACTGAGAATATACTTAGAGTACTTGGGGCTCAGGGGACCCCCGTTTCTGTTCCCTATAAACCACTCCATCACTTAGCATTTGTTCATATCCAGATGTGTGGTTGTTATACTGACCCATTAAGCCACATATCACTCAAAATTTATTTAATAAAATTACAATATATGTGATAACAATTTTTTGTAAGCAAGGGAATGAAACACAAAATTTGGGACAGTGGTTAACTGGTGAGGAAGGTGTAGAGGGTTTGTCCACACCAAGCAGGGGAATGAGATTAAGAATAACCCCCTGTACAGGTAAAAGTTATGGATTTTGGGTTCACTGGTGGGCTCATGAATATTCATTAAGTTATTAAAAATACCTAAACAAGTAAGTGCTCAGCTAACTGAGAGGTGTACGCAGTTCCCAATGATGACTGTATGCCTTAACTCACATGTTATAATTAATCCACTTCAATATTCAATAAGGTTCAATTATAAAAGGAAACCACCTTTTTTTTTTCTTGTGAAAATAGCTTCTCGGGGCACCTGGGTGGCTTAGTCGGTTGGGTGTCCGACTTTCGCTTAGGTCATGATCTCGCGGTTCGTGGGTTCGAGCCCCACGTCGGGCTCTGTGCTGACTGCCAGCTCAGAGCCTGGAGCCTGTTTCANTCTGTGCTGACTGCCAGCTCAGAGCCTGGAGCCTGTTTCAGTCTGTGACTCCCTCTCTCTCTGACCCTCCCCTCCTCACGCTGTGTCTCTCTCTCTCTCCTAGAAATAAATAAAAACATTAAAAAAAAAATCTTAAAAAAAAAAAGAAAATAGCTTTTTATTTGTGTTTGTAAGATACTCATTGTAAAAGATTCAGATAATGCAGAAAGGTACAGAGACTAAAAATCACTCAACCTCCACTACCTAGAGATAAAAGCATTGTCCAAAATGTTAAGAAATATCTTTCTAGGTCTCTTTCTAAGCACATCTCCTCCAGGGAGAGATGTGTGAATAGGATTCAACTGCAATGAGATTATACCTCCCACCTGCCTCTTTTAATGCTAGAACTCATGTAGTTCAACTCTTACATTTCATGGTCAGGGAGATGGAGACACAGAGAGAAGTGACCTGATCATGGTCACACTTTGAAATGTATGGCCCCAAACAGTTTCCCACAGTGTGCAATATGGGCAGACCTTTTTACCTATAATAGTTATAAATGAAATTTAATTAGAAAAATGGCACATCTATATGATGATTCAGCAGCTATTCTTACCTGTGCAAAATGAAACAGAAAAGAGCTAATAGCGCTGGCATTTGCTGGTATGAAAGAGTGGTGCTGTGGTCTGAAACTTGGAAAACCCTGATCTAGAACACAAGCAGGACCCGGCTTCCTCTTAACTGGTGGTGGTTCTTTAAACTTTTACTGTTTATTAGAAGTTTATAAGCCAGACCAACAGGCAGGCCAGCAACATGGACATACATTCCTATTAGACTAAAGAACTGAATTCCTCTTTCCTCTTTTCTTTTGTCTGTACAGAAATTTTTCCTCCAGGAGAGCCCTGTTTTATATGTCCAAGCATTGAGCGACCCCAGCAAAGCACTGGTGTTGGAGGAGGCCACCTTGTCATGGCAAGAGACCTGCCCTGGGATTGTCAATGGAGCCTTGGAGCTGGAGAAGAACGGGCATGCTCCCGAGGGGGTGACCAGGGCTCAGCCACCTCTAGGAGCCCTCAGGCCAGAAGACTCATGGGGCAGCCCACCCCCAGGGTTGCACAAGTTAAACCTGGTGGTGTCAAAGGTAGCCTTCTCGAGGCCACGCAGACAGGCCAGCTGCCAGGCTTTTGGGGCCTGAGGCCCAAGCTTCCTGGCACTCTACCATTTCCTTGGCTAAAAACTGCCATCTCTAAATCCCTCATTTAAATACCAATTGTTCATGGACGGGAAGCATAGGAAGTCTTTCATACTTTAGTGGGAACCAGCTGATCATCTACAATTTGTTTTGTAATAACAAAATAGTATGCTATATGCTGGGAGAGAAGGGGAAGGAGACTAACATTTATTAAGTTGCTAGTATGTGCTGAGAACTACCCTGCACATTTCCATTTGGTTGTTCTGTGAACTCACCTTATCTGGCTTCTCCGACTGACACTTGCAAGGGCCAGCTTCCCTTCTTGCCCAAATTTCACCTCCTCACTTTCCTCCTGGAAGTGAAACTAGGTGAGGCCCCGCCCACATCTCTGACCTCTTCTCTCACTCATTCCTTCTACAACAGCTACTCTAGCCCTCTCATAGTGCCTCTCATAGTGCCTCTCATAGCACTTTGGCAGACCACCTTGTTCCTGTCTCAGGACCTTTACACCTGATGTTCTACAGCTTGGAACCACCAGATCTTCCTGTGTTTGGCTCCTTCTTGTCATTCAGGTCTCAGCTACAATGACAACTGCTTTAAGAAGCTTTTAATGGCCAACCTATCTACTATTTGCTTTGGTCACAGCAGCAAATTTCATTTTACTTAAATCATTTGTCTTCATCTGATATTATTTGTTTGTTTGCTTGCTTATTTATTTCATGGTTTATCTCCCCCCTCCCCATCACAGTGCAGAATGAGAGTTCTTTTCTTCATTCTTGGTACCTAGGAGAAACTCAAATACCATTTAATGGATGAATGGATGAATGAGTGGATGTATGCATGAATTCTGTGAGGCTGACTTCTCTGTGCACGTTTCATACATGAAGAAACTGAGGTGTAGAAAGCCTAAGTGACTTGCCCAATATCATAGTGCAGAAAGGTGCAGATCTGGAATTTGGGTTTCTTGCCTAACAGGACCACCTATCCATGAATTTCTCTCTGCCATTTGCATGTGACTTTCTTCCTTTGAGATTGTGACATCCTACCCTCTTGAGCTTTGCTAGTCTGTGGGGTCTTGGGGTGGGTGTGGTTATTTTGTTTTCTGTCATTTTGTGTTCAAGCAACAGACCCACCCTGGGTGAGTAGGAGGGTTGAACTGTCCCAATGTTCCTCCTTGGCTTTGCAGGGGACCATGTTGGGGGTCTGTGGCAACACTGGAAGTGGCAAGAGCAGCCTTCTGTCAGCCATCCTGGGGGAGGTAAGTGACTTGTGATGGCATGCATTCCATCCACAGGCAGTCCAGGGACTCCCAAGCTTGAGTTCCCCCAGTACTCCACGCCATCACTTTCTGGGTTCTGAGCCAGTATAATTTTTATAAATTGAGATCAGTTGGGCATGCACCAAGGGGGAGGTGTGTTATAAATGTGCCTTCTTCTCACTCACTAGGCAGGAGTGCTGCCTCTTAGCTCACCTAGAGGTCTGCCCTCACCTGTTCTATGCGCTTTCCCCACTCTGTTTGTAATCAATCAGCTCTCAGAGTGATGATACAGGGTGTGTCAAAGTTTAGTATGATAGTAAAAATCATTTCATGAAGCCAAACTGAGTGGGACAGGTGTCCTTTGTGAGGTGGCATCAGGAGAGCAATGTGGAGGGAAGGAGGAGGAGAAGGAAGGAAGGAAGGGGCAGGGAAGAGGAGGCTCTCCTGGAGGGAATGGGACAGGACAGTCTTATACTCCAGCAGTGGAATTTACATGCCTGCTGGATGTCCCTGCTCTTGAGAGCTGAACCCTCCAAGCCCAGTCTGTGGATATTCTTGAGGTCTGCTTAGTCTGCAGCCAGGCAGACATGTCACTCAGCCCATGCTTCTTCCAGTTTCCAAAAAGCTCCCACTTGTTGCCTTAAAACAATTGAGGTTACACTGCACACCTTTCACTGAACAACACCTTAAAACAGTCATGGCAGCTGGTGTGTATTTATGGCCACCTCCCCAAGAGGGCTCTCTCCAGCACTTCTCCACTCAGCCCCAGCCTCACCTAGCCCTGGGCTGCTCTCTCTCCCCTCTCCTTTCTTTGCCTTCCCTCCCACATTGTTGGGAGAACTTGCAGGTTCTTCCTTTAGCTCTTCCCTCAGCTCCTTTTCCCAACTGTTATAGCCAAACTCATCGCCTCCTTGGAATGTGGTTATATTGTCCATGGAACTCTCTCCCGAAAGCTCATCTCTCCATGCTCCATATGTGAAGGCTGTGCCCCAACTTCTTGGCAATGGGGAAGATAAGATTCTACTTAAATAAAAAATAGAAAAAATAGTTTGGATGGTATTTCATGCCAGGCCCTGTGCTAAGAGGTCATTTCCCATTTTCTCCTTCAACTTGGAAGCAACCACATGAGGAAGACACAGTCATTATGGTCAGTTTATGGGTGAGCAAATGAGGTTCAGAGAGGTGACTGGCCCAAGATCACACCACAGTTGAGGGAGGAGCCAGGGTTGAAACCCAAGTCTGCCTGATGTCAGAGCTTTGCTTTTCACCATGGCAACGTTTCTTGTTAGCCTCCATCCAAGGCCACCTTTCTGTGTGGCCAGTAGTTTGTCAGTTTCCTCTTGAAATGAACCAGTCACTTTCCATCTAATAAAGGGAGAAAAAAAGATGTCATTTTAAAGTTTTGTTCTTATTAATTAAAGCCTGGCTCCAATTCAGAAGTGGGAAGCATGGCATCATAAAGAGAAAGAAACACAGGATGATGATGTCCTATGCTGGGTTGGTAGGGCCGGGGGCTATGGTCTTTTTTTTTTTTTTAAGTGTATGTATTTATTTTGAGAGAGAGAAAACATGTGCACAAGTGGTGGAGGGAAGAAAGAGAGGGAGAGAGAGAATCCCAAGCAGGCTCAACACTGTCAGCGCAGAGCCTGACTCAGGTCTTGATCCCATGAACTGTGAGATCATGACCTGAGCTGAGACCAAGAGTCAGACACTTAGCTAACTGAGCTACCCAGGCACCCCCCCCCTTTTTTTTGAAAAAGAGCTTTTAAATTTACCAAAAAGAAAAGCAGTAAGACACTAAACACCCATATACTTACCACCTAGATTCAACAGTCGATAGCATTTGCATTTTTTTGCCACATCTATGTAGAAACACATATTGTAGAACTATTTTAAATTACATATAGATTATGAGACTTTTCCGACTTAATACTTCATCGTGATGTCCCCCCAAAAAGGACTTTTTCCTATCTATGCAAGATGATATCACATCTAATGACATCAGAAATAATTCTGTTGATATCTAGGGTTGGTCAGAGATGACCTGGAACATTTCATCTCACCATGAAGAGCATGGAGGCACCACTTGCTAGAGAATGGGGCTGGAGAAATAAGAGAAAGAAAAAGTATGGGGCATCCTCAAGGCAGACCTTGGATTTAGTCACAGCAGGAAGCGGCCTGGTTTAGCTCCAGAACCTTCCCTCAGACTCACTGGTGGGCCTGGCAGGACCACGTTAAATGTCTCATTTACATTGGAGAGCCCCCAGAGTCCAGGAGGGCAGTGGGGCAATGGGCACTATGGCTACTGAGCCAGACAGGGTCCTCAGTTCTGCCCTGTCCTGAGGCTGGACTCCCTCTGTTGCAGATGCACTTGCTGGAGGGCTCGGTAGGGGTGCATGGAAGCCTGGCTTATGTTCCCCAGCAGGCCTGGATCTTCGGAGCTAGCATCAGGGAGAACATCCTCATGGGAGGCCAGTACGACAGAGCCCGGTAAGCTTCTGGGAGGGCCCAGGAGAGACACAGGTGCATGGGGATGGTTGAGGGAGGGATCCCCAGCTGTGAATAGTAATAGGGTAACTGATAACACTTGCTGTGTGCTCATTTCTGTGTATCAACATATTTCCTCCTCACTGTGAAAGAAAGATTATTATCATATCCATTTTCTAGATGAGTCAGCTGAGGCCCCAAGAGGTTAAATGATTTGCCTAAAATCACAAACCTTGGAGAATATGATAGAACCAGGATTTGAACCCAGTTGCTATCAGAAATTCCATGCTTACTTGTTATACTATAGGAGTCAAAATAACCCTCTCCCTCCAACAATGGTACTTTAAACCTTCATTTGTATTAATGAATTCTCCACCTCTAAGTCAAAAGGTAAAGCAAATGGGGTGATGAGTTTGTGGGATGTAAAAGAAACCAGTGAGCCATCCACTGCCATCCTTGCCCTCTGTGGCCTCTCTCTCCCAGGTCTGGGGTTGACCTGCTTCAGACATGCACTTGGAAGTTAGGAGTGCAGGCTATTCACAAACACAGCCCTGAATGCTACAGCTCTGCTTCCAACTCTGGGGATCCTCGCCTCCTTTGACCATTTGCTTGATTTTACAATCTGCCTCCAGTAGCAATGCTGAGGGGCATGGATGTATGCGTGTGCGGATTGGCCATCTCTATCGGCTGTCCCGTGAGCTCCTCATTGTCAAGTCCAACACCAGCTCATGAGCGCCCTGCTGGCCCAACCCCCCAAGAAGCATCTTGCCTGCTTCTCTTCCCAAGTTGTCCAATTTGATTTAATGCAATCAATTAACTGTGTCCCCCAGCAAGCCCGATGCCTCATCCTCTGATGCTCCACATCTAATTTTTCACCCACATTGGACAACTCTATCTCCTAAATATCTCTTATGTTTCTCTCTTCTCCATCTCACTGCTGGTTCTTGCCTGTGATCTCTTGCTTGAACTGTTCCCACTGCCCCTGCCCTTGGCTCCCTGTCTCCAGTATTCTCCTGCTTTGTTCCACCTTATAGCTCTCATCTTGTCATTGCTCTCTTTCAGACTGATACAACTCATAGGGAAGTTTTCAAGTATCTGGTACAAAATAAAAATGTATCAGTTCTTAGACTCAGCACTACTAGGTGTTTAATGTGTAGGTAGTATCACCCATGAGCACAAAGGTCTGTATACCAGAATGCTCACCTTACACATTGTTCATAGTAGCAAAAGAATAGAAAGAACCCCAGTGTCCATCACGGGGACACTGGTTAAATAATTTATGGTGCAGCCATATAATGAAATACTATGGTGCCATTAAAACAACACAAACCTATATATGCTACACACAGGCATATATGACCATGATATTTCTGAGTGAATATGTAAAAAACTATAATAGTGGCTGTTTCCGAGGAAAGCAACTGAGAGTGGAAGATGGGAGAGACTTGCTTTCCATGATATCTTTTGTTGTTGATGTTGTTCTGTTCAAATATTTACTAAGTGCATGTATCAGATTAAAAGAAATGAAGGGAGGAAGGAAATGCAAAAAGCATCCCATGCTTTACTGTTAAATGCAGGATCAAGTCCAAATTTTTTAGCATGAAGTGAGAGACCTCTCCCTTCCTGACTTGGAAAGGCTGCAGGGCCTGTGGCTGGGCCATCTGTCCCTTCAGCTCTCTGTCCTTTGCAGGTACCTCCAGGTGCTCCATTGCTGCTCCCTGAACCAGGACCTGGAAATTCTGCCCTTTGGAGACATGACGGAGGTGAGTGGGAGGCAAGCACCTCCTGCCTCTGCTCTGATGGTGCCTTTGTAATGGCCTGGGGTCCTCAGGCTGCCTCCCTGGGTAAGTAGAGGAGGCATTCCCAAAGCAGCCCACGACCCTGCAGCTACTGCCTCAAAGCTTTGCCTACCCAGGGAGGGAACTGGGGCTCATCTTATGGTGAGAGGGGGCAATGAGCCTACCTTACTCCACAAGGATGGGGAGCTGACCTCAAACTCCTTCTTTGGAGCAAAAGCAGTGGAGACCTTGTGAAGATGAGAAACCACCCATTCATCCCCTCATCCCCCTCCCACCCTGCCCCGTCTGGCCAGCTCTTCCTTTGCCAGTGGGAGTAACAGCCATGGCTTCCTAACGGCAATATGATTCATATTTTCCTGATAATTCATGTCTGTTACATCTGTACCCACTATTCTACATAAGACCTTTCTAAGATAAAAGCACTATTGTTGTCTTGATTTTATGACCTATTAATAGCTCAGCCTGCTGAGCACTTACCAAATGTAAAATTGTAGCGACTTGAATGCATTGTCTTAGGTGAGCCTCAGATAACTCTAGGAGGTCAGTGCTTTTATTATCCTTTTTTTAAAAGATGGAAACCCTTTACCCTGTAAACCCTTGAGAGCAGAGAGCTCAGTTGTCTTATTCAGGGCTATCTCTTTAGAAAAAACAAGGTCTGGTCTGTAGAATGGCATCAATAAGAGTATGGACCTCGTCAAGCTTGAGGTTTAGATGAGTTGATACATAAAAAGTGCCATGAGCAGTGCCGGGCTAGAGCAGGTGTTGGCTTATCATCACAGCACGGTAGGCACTTAGTAAGCATTTGTTGAGTGAGGACTCAATGCAAAACTAAGCCTTGAACTGGGTCAAGCAGCCTGTCCCGGGGCACACAGTGGTGAACCAGAGGCAGAGCAGTGACAAAGGTCGGTCGCCCTGCTGCTCTTTAAACTCTGCTTCTTTTCTACAGAGTTCCCAAGAGTTCATGGTAGAGCAGGGACAGCGACATAGCCCCTGGCATCCTTGTCTGCAGAGATGACGGAGGGATTGGCCAGGCAGGAGGTGCCTGGGCGTGGTAGTCTGCAAGGGGACCCAAAACATGCTGTCTAGTAACTCTGGTTGCCTGTTACTAACTCCTGACATAAGGTGTGTAAGGTGCTCCCTACCAGGAGAGCAACAACAGAGCCCCTTTCCAGCCATCGCAGCTCTGTCCTGTTGAGCAGCTGTCCACCGTGCAGTCTTAGACAATGAGGGCTGATGCTGCTCCAAGTCGACACTTGCTGTCAACAGAGGTTTAAAACCCAAATAAGACAGAAGGAGGTGCCCTTCCTTAGTAATCATTTGTTTTGTTAAATAGTTAAAGTTTTAAAATGCCACCTGAGAAGTTGACAGGTTTAGAAACTGTGTATCTAATTATGAGTCATAAAATTTTTGTTAACTGAAAAATCAGTTTCTTCATTCCCTACTAAGCAAATTTTGAAAAATATTAAAAAAAACAAAACAAAAAAAAAAACCAGGGGTCCTGAATCACAAATGTTCAGGAGCATGCACTGAGGAGGTTCAGCCTGTCACATGCGCCCACCTGGCTAAATCTGAGCACACCTGGCTGGGATTGTCCCCTGGACACAGTGCCTTTGGCTGTCTATTCGCAGATTGGGGAACGGGGCCTCAACCTTTCTGGGGGGCAGAAGCAGAGGATCAGCCTGGCCCGCGCCATCTACTCAGACCGCGAGCTCTATCTGCTGGACGACCCCCTATCTGCCGTGGACGCCCACGTGGGGAAGCACATCTTTAAGGAGTGCATTAAAAAGATGCTTAGGGGGAAGACCATCATTCTGGTGACCCATCAGCTGCAGGTGACCACCATTTCAGGGCTCTGGCCATGATTGATGACTATGTAGATCAGCACATTTCTTTTCTGTGTTTGTTTTTTGTTGTCGTTGTTTGAGAGAGACAGAGGGAGAGAGCAAGCAGGGGAGGGGCAGAAAGAGGGGGAGACAAAAGATCCAAAGTGGGCTCTGTGCTGACAGCAGAGAGCCTGATGAAGGGCTCGAACTCACCAACCGTGAGATTATTCCCTGAGTTGAAGTCAGATGCCTACCCAACTGAGCCATCCAGGTGTCCGTATCCTCACGTTTCTGCCATTGATTCCGCCATTGATTCAGTAACAAACTCACAGCAGCTACCCCTTCCTCTCAGACTAGACCTCAAAACTTAAGGAGCATTGTAAAACACTTGGATCTCTTCTGCTTTCCCCATGGAGAGGGTAGGCTGGTAAATAGTTTCTGTGGCTGGTAAAAATTGAAACCAGATTTTAAGTTCTTCTTCAAGATTTGATGGATCACTACTGCTTTTGAAGTTACAAAGAAATCTTTCAGAGAATTCCCCAAGTCTCATGTTCTTGGATGAAATGCAGTGACCATGCTGGGTGGTGCTGCCTCTCATAATGACTTTGCCCCAGATGTTCCCATACTTGGTTCTGGCCTCAAGGTGTAATTGTTATTTCTCCCTCTCCTTCTATTTTGACCTATTTTTTTAGTGCAGAATATTTAACACATAAGAATAGTTTATAAAATAATCCAATGAAAACCCGTGTGTCTACCACCCAGAAGACACAATCAAACAGAGATCCCCTCTCTGATTGCATTCTGTCTCCTGCCTCCTATTCCCCTCATTTCACTGTTTGTCATCCCTGTCCAGATCTCCACACTCTTACAACACATGTAAGCATCTCTAGATAAAGTGTCCTTTTGTATATTTTAAAGCTTTATATAACTGATATTTTACTTTCTGTGTCCTTCAGTATTTTGCATGTTTCACCCAACATTATACTTTTGAGATGTCCTGTGTTGATGCATGCAGCTTTTTAAAATTCTCACTAGTGTAGAATTCCAATGTCGAATACACCAGATATCTGGTGTATACACCTGGAAACATCAGAATTTATTTCTCTGGGATGAATGTCTAGGTTATTTCCCACTTTTCATTTTTACAAAAAAAAAAATGCTTCAGTGTATGTCCTTTCATATGTGTCTTTATGCATGCTTCAGAGTTTATTGGGGGTAGATTTTTATGCATCCAATTGCTGGTTCGTAATTCTTAAATATTTAATTTTACTAGATATTATCAAGTTGTCTTCCTCAGTATTTGCACTAATCTACAACCCCCCTACCTTGTATGAGATTCCTTGTATGATGACCTGCAGTCATCACCAATGCTTGCACTTATGCAATGTTTTAAGATTTTTGCCAACCTGAGGGTGTAAAATAATATTTTCTTATGATTTAAATTATGTTTTCCTTATGAGTGGTGAAGGTAGGTATCTTTTTGTATGCTTACCAAAGGCCCTATTTCTTCTGACTTCAGTATTTAGCATTTTGTGACCAGATTATTTTGCTAGAAGATGGGAAAATCTGTGAAAAAGGAATTCACAGTGAATTAATACAGAAAAAGGGACGATACGCCCAGCTCATTGAGATCATGGAGAAAGAAGCCACACAGGTGATTTCCACCCTGCCCCACCCTCACTGCCCACGTAGAGGAGCGCTTCCTGCCCACTGCATTCATGATGTATGCTTTCTCCCCAGGATGTACTGCAGGACACAGCAAAGACAGCAGAAGAACCTCAGGGGCAAGAGCAAGCTCAGACTGCCTTCCAGGAAGAGCCTGTCCATGAAAGAGCACCTGGTAATGGTGCTGGGCAACAGGGCAATAAGACCCATGAGCCTGCCTGGGTCCTCTGCAGGACCTAGCATTTCTTCCTGGACCCCAGAGAGGGCCGTGTCCCTCCCTGGCCAGGATCCTTGACACCACATGATCCAAGTCATGGGAGGTGGGGTGTGGACTGTGTTGGTCAGGAGGCCTAAATCTGGGAAGTAAGTGTTGTGGGGGGCAGAGTTGAGGGTGTGCAGAGGCAGAGACAGTGTGGGTAGCTTTGGCCTGGAACAGCATAAATTTAACTGTAAAGCATTTAGATCTTCATTCATTACATATTTGTTGAAAGCAAATGCTGAAAACAAAGGTATTAGAAATCAGAAATGAGGGGTGGCTCAGTCATTTAAGTGTCCAGCTCTTGACTTAGGCTTGGGTTAATGATCTCACAGTTTGTGAGTTCAAGTCCCATGCCAGGCTCCATGATGACAGTGTGGAGCCTGCTTGGAATTCTCTCTCTCTCCCTCTCTCTCTGCCCCTCCCTTGCCCGTGCGTGCTCTCAAAGTAAATAAACTTTTAAAAAAAATCAGAAATGAATGGGCCCAATCCTATATATCCAGAAGCTCATGGCCTTGCTCTTTTCTGAGAAAGGGTGGCAGGGCAGAAAGACCTCCATTTTTAAAGTAAGACAGTTCTCAATTTGAATTCCAGCTCTACCGCTTACAAAGCTGTATGACCTTGGCCAAGCAACATAACCTCTTTGAACCCTCATTTGCAAAAGTGAAGGTACCTAGTGCTTACTTTGTAGTGTTGTAGTGCAGAGAGATAACATGAGGTGAGGTATATGGAGGCCCCAGGATAGTGCTTGGCACATTAGAGGCTCTTGTTACCAAAAGCGTCTTCAGCAGTGAAGGTCAGAAACTGATTTGGGCAGAAAAATAATTGGAAGATCACAAAATGAAAAGTCAAAGAACCACACCTCAACAATTTTGGGGCATGAGTGGCAGAAACAGGTACAGAATCTTTAAAAAAAATTTTTTTTAACGTTTATTTATTTTTTGAGAAAGAGAGTGTGAGCAGGGGAAGGGCAGAGAGAGAGAGAGAGGGAGACACAGAATTTGAAGCAGTCTCCAGGCCCTGCACTGTCAGCACAGAGCCAGATGCAGGACTCGAACTAACAAGCTATGAGATCATGACCTGAGCTGAAGTCGGACGCTTAACCAACTGAGCCACCCAGGTGCCCCAGATGCAGAATCTTTTTGAAGAAAACCTACTCTAAATATTTTCAACACTAGTATGTTTTCCCTCAAGATTCAAATCCCAGGAAGACCGCCCTTTCCCCAGGGGAAATTAGGGTGTTATTAGAAGAAGGGAGAGCCTCAGGCAGAAACAACAGATAACCCCACAGTGCTGCTTCCTTTTGTTGCTACTGTCAGCAGCAGCATCTACTCGGACTTTCTGGAAACTGGTCTCTCTGCCCTGCCCTAGGATAAGAATCTAGGAACCTTTTTTTTTTTTTTTTGAGGACTTCTCAGAAAAATATTGCTGCAAAGCATCTTAGCAACCATCTGTAGGCTTGCCAACAGTCAGATGAGGAAACAGAGAAGTTAAATGATTGTATTGTAAGGACCATTCTGGAACCCAGTTTTCTGGTCCCAGATCTTTACTTTCTTCATTCTCTCCTGCTGCCTCTCCTAACCCATCAAGATCTTGGGAACCCCAGGCTTCCCAGAATTATTGAATGGCTGGGGTTGAAACCCCTTTACAGGCTCTGGAATCCAGGTCAAAGTTATCTTCGGCAGAGTCTTCCAAGGAAAACATGGGGGTTAGAATCAGATTTGGATGGGGCACTGCAGCTGGAAGATGAGGACTCTGGAAAAGAGGGGCAGAAGGCTTTGTAAAAAGTCTTCTTGACCTTGGAAGGCCATGCTAGTGACTGAAAGGTGCATGATTTTCTTGTTCTCTTGCTCTGACCCAGTGCTGGAAAATCAGCTCACAAGGAAGGAGAAGATGGAAGAAGGGTCCCTGAGGTGGAGTGTCTACCATCACTACATCCGGGCAACTGGAGGTACAGTCTGTCAGCTGTCATGCCAGGCCTGGGGCTCTCTCTCTGACTGGCCCTGCCCCTGAAGCTGGGTCAGACTGGAATGTGTGCAGTCATGCAAAGTAGACAGGCACAGAGGAATCATGCCATTCATGGGTTTGACCTGCAAAATTCCAATCTCAGCCACACTCAACTGTATAGTAACTCTACCACCATAGTCAATGCTGGAAGTTAGGTTTCATGTTGTGTTAAAATGTACCTGAGATTTATTTTAATCAAATATGGTAAGACATGCAGTCATGGAAATTATTGTCACAAAGGGAGAAGTTTATGTTCATAGCACCCTAGAAACAGGAGACATGGCATGCTATGTAGGGCCACATTGTTCAGGAAGCAGAGGCAAGGTCCCAAGGCTATATTGGGTTTTTTTGTGGGAAGGAGTGGGTGCAGCAGGGTGGGTATACCAAGTGAGTTTAGGATTATATAATTTGAGTAGTTTGAGGAGGCTCTGGGCTATAGGAATGGTCCCTAGTTATCTGGAACCTGGACCAGGGGTGATTTAGGGCAGGAATATTGGCTTGGTGTGTGAGTTTGATGAAGGAGACAGTTGGGAGTGTGGCTATGGGTTGGTAAATCCCAGGTGTGCTCACAGGGAGTCATTTGCCATTTCTAGGAATTAGCCCTTTGAAGAGCAGTCTCCTCAGGATTAAGGCCCCAGCTGCCACAGCACCAAGAGGAGACAATAAGAAAATGTAGTTCATACAGTACTTTTTGAGTGGTTTTCAAACTTTAGGACCTGACACACTAGTGGCTTGTGAAATCAATTGAGTGAATTTTAAGTAGCACTGAAAGAAATCAGGTAGAAGAGAATTGAAATTGTCTGCTTCCATTTCATACAGTGCCATTGGTGAAGCATTTATTCTGATGTGCATTCAAATACATTTCTGATGGTGGAGGGCAGCTAGAAGCTTCAAAGCTACTGCTTTATTAAAGGGTATACATTACCAAATTCATATAAATATAACTATACAAAATATAAACACAAAACCTAGTATATGATACTGTACTTTTTAAGTAACTTAAGATATTTGTGAGAGTAACTAGGACTCCATGCCAACTTTTTACTTTTGGTTGAATTTGGAACCTAACCCTGTGTAAGGTGTATCTTCTTTCTACCTGTCTAAAGGAGGAAGAGGTAAGCTGTGCATAGATCACCATTCCTACCTCTTCTACTATAGGCACCCTTACAGAGCATAACATAGTGCCTTGCCAGAGAGGGGAACAGCAAATGCCAGTCAATGCATGAATGAATCCAGCAACCAATTGATCTGTATTTACAAAGTATCTTTTATGAGCCAGGCACTGTGCCAAGCTCCAGAGAGAGGGAGCATAAAGGCATCCAAAAGCCAGTCATGGAATTAAGCTGGAGATTTATGGCATATGCATTCCCCAGGTAGTAAGAGAGATCTCTGTGGCCAGGCACAGTTTCAGATGTCATCAAAGAAGGGGTGGCTCTTGAGTGGAGCTTAAGGAAAGGTTGAATTCAAGAGAAGAAATATGAGGGAGGGGTGCCTGGCTGGCTTAGTCGGTAGAGCATGTGACTCTTGATCTTGGGGTTTAAGTTTGAGCTCCATGTTGGTTGCAGAGATTACTTAAAAATTAGTATCTTAAAAAAAAAAAACACTCAAATATAGGCATGGGGCACAGACTGGATAGATGGGTAGAGTGTTGGGGCCAGGGATAGCTAGTGAAGGAGGGGATGCACCCTGGGTTTTCCCATCCTTGGCTTAAAATTTTTTTTTAACATTTATGTATTTTTGAGAGACAGAGCATGAGTGGGGGAGGAACAGAGAGAGAGGGAGATGCAGAGTTCAAAGCAGCCTCCAGGCTGTGACCAACTGCACAGAGCCTGACGTAGGGCTTGAACTTACAAACCAGATCATGACCAGATCATGACCAGAGCTGAAGCTGAACGCTTAACTGACTGAACCACCTGGGTGCCCTGCATCCTTGGCTTTTTTCAATTGAAGCTCTACCACTTGCCAGCTCTCTGACCTTGGGCAAATTTCTTCCCCTCTTGGAGACCCAGTAAGTGGGGATAGAAATTCCAAACTGAGAATTAATGCCTGGGTTTAGTACAACGCCTGGCACATAGTCCATAATAGTACATACCATATAAAAGGTAGCTGTTGTTATTGAAGACTGAACGCTCAAGACCTGCATAAGGTGGACTACTCTAGAATATTGCTTTTGTGCTAGGCACTGGGTTAGGTGTTTGGCACACATTATTACATATCCTCTTCAGGGTGACCCCATTGGCTAGTATGACTACCATCACCATTTCATAGGTAAAACAGTGGAATGGTATTTGGTACTTTGCTCGGGATAACACAGCTTGTAAGTAGTAGAGTCAGGATTTGATCACAGGGCTTCCTAAACTTGGAAGCCAGCCCTTTGTAGTCCTCCAAGGTATCCAAGGTGGATGGGGGTCAGGGAGATCCAAGGGCTTGGGATGGCTGAATAACTTTGTCAACCATTGTCCTTCACCTTTTTGTGGCACCTCTGTGTTACCCCTCCCCTCTCTCTCCAGGTTACATGGTCTCTGCCATTGTTTTATTTCTCATTATGTTGATTATCTTCTTCACGACCTTCAACTTCTGGTGGCTGAGCTATTGGTTGCAGCAGGGCTCAGGGGTAAGTGTCACGGAGGGAGTGGGGTGTGTTTCTGTGGGCTGGTATGGAGTGGGGCACCACTCCTTTGGCCCCACAAGGGTCAGAGCATGGGTTAGGGAACCCCATGGCAAACCTGGAGTCCGCCATTGCCAAGTCAACAAATGGAAAAGCTCTAGAGAGGACCTCAGAGAGCCAGAACATGGGGTTTCCCTCCCAGCTCCAGCCCCTGTGTTCACAGAATGAGTGGTCACCAGTGTTGTCTCATCAGGACAAACCAAGAGGTTCTGTCCCCAGACAGGTCCTCAAGAATGCTTTACATTCCACATAGTGATCTTTCCTTTGGTAGCCCTTTTGCCTTCTTATTTTGCTTTATTTAGAATGTGCCTCAAGAAAGGGCTGAGAGTGGGGCACCTGGGTGGCTCAGTCGGTTAAGCATCCTTCTTCAGCTCAGGTCATGATCTCACGGTTTGTGGGTTCGAGCCCCACGTCAGGCTCTGTGCTGACAGCTAGCTCGGAGCCTGGGCCTGCTTCAGATTCTGTATCTCCCCCTCTCTCTGGCCCTTCCCTGCTCTCTCTCTCTCCCTCAGAAATAAATAAAAACATTTAAAAAAAAAAAAAGGAAGAGCTGAGAGGACACATCAAAGATAAACACTGCTAACGTTAGTGAAAGCAGGGAAAACACATTTACTCAGTCACTATTGAGGGCAGGGGAAAGAGCTGAGCATTGTTCCGATTTGTGCACAGGTGATTTGGGCCTTTTTTTTAAAAAATTTTTTTAATGTTTTTATTTATTTCCGAGAGAGAGAGAGAGAGAGAGAGAGAGAGAGAGAGAGAGAGCGTGAGCAGGGGAGGGGCAGAGAGAGAGGGAGACACAGAATCTGAAGCAGGCTCCAGGCTCTGAGCTGTCAGCACGGAGCCCGACGCATGGCTCGAACCCACGAACTGTGAGATCATGACCTGAGCTGAAGTCGGACGCTTAACCAACTGAGCCACCCAGGCGCCCCAATTTGGGCCTTCTAAAGGGAGAATGAATGTGGGGGCTCAGTAGAGGCGGAGGAGTAAAATGTACCCAGGGTTGGTGAGTGTGAATGTGATGAGGTCAGCTGTGTCTAGCTGGCAGTTAATCAAAATTAGGACTCTAATCTCCCACAGAAACTGGGAGAAACAGGCCCTATCCTTCCTGGTGATTACATTTTAAAGGCATGGTTCCCAGGTCCTTGGGAGAAATGCTCTGAGTTTTAGTAGCTACATATTCACAGCTGTAAGTGGTTTTTAGTGAGGTCTCTGAGAAAGGAAGGTCAGGGGCATGCCATCAGGTATTGGCTAGAACAAATGGTGACCTTTCCTGGTGGTGGTTGATGTTCCTCAGGCAGGCATTTTGATGGTGGGCAGGGGCTGGGGTCCTCCTAGGGACGTGCCTTAAGCCGCTAGAAGCCATGCTAAAGTTTGGTCAAGTCTCTTAGCTCGAGGGTTTGAATGGAATTGTTCTGTGTTGAGAGACCTGCAGTTCTCAGCCATTATGTGCCTGCTTAACTTGTTCATCTTCCGAGCCACATTCAGAGGAAGGTTCTGTCTCCATTGCACAGAAGATAGTGTGCTTAGAGAGGAAAGAGAACCTGCCCTGGGATGTGAAGTCCCCTGCTGGGACTTGAACTTGGTTCTCTGATTCTAAGCCATGTTTACCCAAAGGCATACTTGCTTAACTTTTTAAAAATATTTTTTTAAATGTTTATTTATTTTTGAGGGAGAGAATATTTTATATTTGAGTGGGAGTGGTAGAAGGACAGAGAGAGGGGCAGGGACAGAGGATCAGAAGTGGGCTCTGCATTGACAGGCTGAGCACCGAGCCAATGTGGGGCTCAAACTCATGAGCCAGGAGATCATGACCTGAGCTGAAATCAAGAGACTGAGCCACTCAGGTGCCCCTACTTGGTTAACTTTTGAGCCATGTGTCAGGCAGAGTTTGGTTAGGGAAACAGAAGCCACTTGAAGTATGTAGAGCCTCCAAAGATTTAATCTAAGAATTAGAAGCCACACAATTATTGGAAGGGCTCCAGTGACCTCAGCAGTGGGTAGCACTCAAGTGGCTGATTCTCAAAAGGATGACTACAATCCACCGACCAAACTCCACGTCCCACACACATGCCCACAATTGCCACCAGTGTGTGGTGATGACTTCCTCTCTTTCAGCATTGAGATTTCCTGTGACTGCCACTGTTTGGTAAAATCTAACCTGAGACCACGTTGGCAGGAGTCTGGGAAACCAAGTTCCCAAACTCTCCCTTACATTGCGGCAGGGAATGTAGACAGCACCAGGGATGATGCTGGGTGATAATCTAGCACAAATTTTTTTTAAATTTTATTTATTTACTTTGAGAGAGACAGAAAGATAGGGAATCCCAAGCAGGCTCCACACTGTCAGTGCAGAGCTTGATATGGGGCTCGAACTCACCAGCCAGGAGATCATGATCTGAACTGAAATCAAGAGTCTGATGCTTAACTGACTAAGCCACCCAGGTGCCCCAATCTAGCACAAATTTCTAACACCATAGAGTGAATTTATTAAGGCTTTTCTACCCTAACAGAAGAAGAGAGGCCTTATTAGAAATCAGGCAGCCTTGGGGGCATTTGATTCAGGCGGTCTGCCTCCTCAAAGAAAGAAAACTCACTACTTTGCTCTATTCCCACACAATGCCTCTGATATCTATTGTGCAGGTTTTTCCTGAAAGCAACCAATTCTGTAATGCTCTGGACAACATCTCTGTGTCCTATGATTCAATTCAGTCTGATGCCACCTGGAATTAGTACAGACTCCCCAGGTTAAGGGCTCACTCCCACAGGTCTGTCTCTGCTTCAGATGCCAATCAAGAGTCTGGACCTCCTATATATCTGACAGATCAGCTATCAACTAGGGGTTCCTATGACCTCCTTTTTTGATTTGATCATCTGCTGGAGTGGCTCACATGACACAGGGAATACTTTTACCAGTGTATTATAAGGGACATAATAAAGGATACAGATGATCGGCCAGATGAAGCGGTTCATAGAGTGAGATGTAGAAAGACTCCAGGTGCAGGGGCTTCTGTCTCTGTGGAATTGGGGTGCACAACCCCAATGTAGATGTATTCACCAACCCAGAAGCTCTCTGAACCCTGCACTTTAGGGATTTTTATGGTGGCTTCATCATATAGGCACAATCAATTATTAATTCAAACTACAGCTCCTCTCCCCAGTCAGACAGAGGATGGGGGTTGGGGTTGAAAGTTCTAAGCTTCTAGTAATGGTTTGGTCTTTCTGGGGACCAGTTCTCCATCCTGAAGCTATCTAGCCCTCTCCTCACCAGCCATCTCACTAGCTACAAAAAGACACTCTAATTGCTCCAGAGACTTAAAGGGTCTTAGAAGCTTTTATGTCAGGAACCAGAGTAAAAATCCAAATATTAGAACAAAATATGCTCCCAGCACACCCTTATCACTTAGGGAATTACAGGGATTTAGGGACTGGGCATAAGACCAACTGTATGTCTTATTAAACCACACTCTGTTCTCTCTTGAAGACCAATAGCAGCCAAGAGAGCAATGGAACTATGGCAGACCCAGGCGACATACTGGACAACCCTCAGCTGCCAATTTACCAACTGGTGTACGGCCTCAGTACGGTGTTGCTAATCTTCATGAGCATCTGCTTCTCATGGGCCTTCACCAAGCTCATGAGGAAAGCATCCACCACCCTGCACAGCAAACTCCTTAGCAAGGTATGGGTCTGGGTAGCAGCTGCAGCTGCAGGCTGTGCCCTAGCCTTGCCTGCTTTTCTTTCCTTTTTTTAATTACTAGACTTCATTTTTTTGGAGCAGCTTTTGGTTTAAGAAAAATGAAGTTGAAAGTACAGAGTTCTCATATGCCCCTTACTAATCCCCCAGTTTCTCCTGTTACTAATATCTTGCATTAGTGTGGGATGTTTGTTACAGTTGATAAGCCAGTACCAATACATCATCATCATCATCATCACCAACATCATCATCATCATCTAAAGTCCATAGTTTATCTAAAATCCCCTTTGTGCTATACATTCTATGGACTTGGACAAATATATACTGACAAGTATTTGCCATGAAGCATCATACAGAAGAGTTTCACTGCTGTAAAACTCCTCTGTGCTCTACCACTCATCCCTCCTTTCCCTCCAAATCCTGACAACCACTGATCTTTCTACTGTCTCCACAGTTTTGCCCTTTACAGAATATAGTTGCAAGTGCACACTGGGCCACAGGTGGAAGCAAGCCACAGAATGAGCTGGGTGCCTGGAGACTATCCAGTGTTGGTAGTGTGATTCTAAAAACTTAATGTCCCTTGCTGGAGGGTCAGGAGGCACACCAATGCTGGCCTCTGTTGGCTGAACACTGTCACATATAGAGTTGCTTATAATTGTCCCAAGTTCCTTTTCAAGTGGTACTATTATCCTCATTTTACAAATGAGAAGCCTGACATCCTTGTCATCCCTGTGTGTTATAATGAGAATGTGTTATGGTTAGAATACCAAACTGCCTCTTGGAAATATCATTGCTCTCCCCCTCACCAGATGTTACTATGTGCAGGTTCTATGATAGGTATTGGGCTTACAGTGGTGAATGAACAATGCAGGTATGGTTCAGACCATCATGGCCTTGTAGTCTACTGAGGGAGGCTGATGATAAAATAGGCTTGTTGTAATGTAGTGTGCAAAATTACCCACTGGGTGGGGGCCCATGGGATTAGGTTCTTAAGAACCTCCAGCATGTAGGTGGTGGAGGAAAGGATGGAATCCAAGAAGCCTTCTAGGAGGAAGGGACCTCTCTGCTGTGACCTGAAGGGGAAGTCACACTCAGCCAACTTAAATTAGGAGGTGAAGAGAAGCAGAGCATTTCTGGAAAACTTTATGATGAAAATAATTATTATTTAGTAATAATCAAAATGCACTTTCCTCCTCCCTCCACTCTCCTTTTATTCCTTCCTTTGTTTTTGGCCTTAATAGATAGGATTAACTTCTATTTATGTCTTGTTCTTGTGTTACAGCTTGAGAAATACATGGGGAAATGAAAGTGGTCAGTTGGTAGGTAACTCAATGCCACAAACCTTTAAGAAATGACTTTTGTAAAGAGAGTGGCTGTGCTGGAGCAGGGTGGTTGGGAACCCTTGGGAGGCCTGGTCATGGTTTTGCCATTAAATACTTGGGTGACCTTGAGAAAATTGATGGGCAGCCTTACCTTCTCTGGGCTTCAGTTTCCTTATCCGTAAAATGAGGACACGAACTAGATGCTTTTGTTAGAGCCCTTCAAGTATGTAATGTTCTTTGATCTCCAAAGGGACTCATGTCCACTGTTTTTAGAGACCAAGTTAGGGAGAACACCATCTTCAAGAAAGGGAAGTCATACTTAAGTTCTACCAAGACACCAAGTTACATGCAATCGCAGTGGCATTGCTACTGCTAATCATTGGCGATCCTGAGTGAAAAGGGTCCCATTTGTAGAAAATAATAAGCGCTGGTATTAATGGAATGCTAATTAGGAGGCAGGAACTGTTCTGAGACTTTCATTGTGTTATCTCTTCCTCCCTCTACCTCCCTCCTGCCTGCCTGCCTTCCTTCCTTCCATCCTTCTTCAATAACAGGTTTATTGATATATAATTCATGTAATCATAAAACATCAAAAATCATAATCATTTAAGTTGTATATCTTGGAGGTTTTTAGTCTATTTGCAGAATTGTGCAATCTTCACCACAACTCAGTGAAGTGTCATTATCATCTCCATTTTATAAATGAAGACATTGAGACTCAGAGGGATTAAGTTAACTTGCTCAAAGTCACACAGCAGTAGGTAGAGAAGTTTGCTAACACTGGAACCCAGGCAGATTGACTATGGAGCTCATGCTTTTAACCGTTGTTCTAAACTGCCTCCCTTGCACACCCTTTAGGCTGCATCCTACACCTCCTCAGAGCTGAGGATAACTGACATCTTCATTGAGTCCCAGAACTATCTCTTGATCTGGGTTGCTTTTGTCCCTACAGGTTTTACGCTGCCCCATGAGCTTCTTTGACACAATCCCAGTAGGCCGACTCCTGAACTGCTTTGTGGCAGACTTGGATGAGCTGGACCAGTTGTTGCCCGTTGTTGCTGAAGAATTCCTGATCCTGTTTTTGATGGTGGTTGCCATCTTGTTGGTTGTCAGTGTGCTGTCTCCATATACCCTGCTGATTGGAATCATATTAGTCACTATTTGCCTTGTTTATTATCTGTAAGTGCATTCTATGTGCTCGTGAGCTGGGTTTGTGACTTGAGATACCAGGCTGGAATCTGTGTAGAACTGGGTGGTCCCTGCGTTGGACGGCCCAGGTCACTCACTCTCATTCTTGATGCAGGAAGTTTAAGATGGCCATCAGCATGTTCAAGAGACTGGAGAACTACAGCCGCTCCCCTCTGCTCTCCCACATCGTCACCACTCTGCAGGGCCTGAGCTCTATCCACATCTATGGAAAAACTGAAGACTTCATCAGCAAGTGAGTCCTGTGCTGTCATCTTAGAACTATGGGGCAGTGGGGACTGTGGGAAGCAGGAAGGTAGGGAGCAGAGCATCCAGAAATAGTGTTCTCTTCACATTATTTTATCCCATTTATTTCTCTGGGCTTCCAGGACCTCATCTATAAGATGAATAATAAATATAAGTGATGTGGAAAATGTTTGTAAACCTTAAAGACCTGTGGATATCACATACACGTATTAAGATAATTAGTAGTAAGAAGTATTGTTGGGTCAGCACTTCTTGCATTGTTCTTTTTCTTTCACTTCCAAACAGGTATCTAATTTCATAAAATACAAGGAACAATAGCTTTCTAACAGAATATCCTTCACTTTTCTCATCTATAGATTTGTATTCTAAATGTTTGTTGATACCAATGAAAACATCCTATGATTGATGCTGAGGCTTAATTGTATCATATGAACTTATCCATTTGTAAAGATCAATCACACATGATCTGCACTGAACTATAAGAACCTCATGGTCTTGTGGAAGACGGGAGATACATACACATATTTTTGTAATAATACAGGGTTAAAAATGACTAACAACATAGGAGAAAAGCAGATATAAGGCCATAAGAGTTCAGGAGAAACTTTAAAAAAAGGTGGGGGGGATGCCTGAGTGGCTCAGTTGGTTAAGCTTCTGACTCTTGATCTCAACTCAGGTCATGATCTCCCCGTTCATGGGATTGAGCCCTGCATCAGGCTCTATACTGACAGTGTGGAGCCTGCTTGGGATTGTCTCTCTCCCTCTCTCTCTCAAAATAAACAAACAAACAAACTTAGAAAAAAAGTTCAAGGGAGAAAGAGGTGGTATCTGAGTCATCTGAAGTGAGTTTGAGCCTGGTAAGACATGAGTGTGGGCGACAGTATGTGTCTGGTTAACTGGAATACTGGATGAACCGTGGCACCAATTCTCCCAGTGGGACTGGAGAGCACTCAAGGACTATGCAGGTGCTGCGACTGTGGGCATCTTCAAGTGATACATTCATTCGCCTACTGGGTGCTCAGAGCCATGGGGGAGATGGTAGTGAATAAGACAGACACACTCTGAGGTACATAGATACTTGGAAGGGGTTGCTTCCCTTCACTCATGTGTAGACCCTGACATTTGTTCACTTGCATTGGCCCAGGTAGGGAACTTCCCCTGATGGTGAACTAATCGTCAAGGCCCAAGGAAGAGCCTGTGCTGATAGGCATAAGTCAGTCAGAGCCTACTCCTAGATTTGGGGTCAGAACACTCCATGGCTGAGAAAGGGGCAGGGAAGAGGCCCCCAAAGATAAGTCAGGTTCCTTGGGTGGGAGTGGGGAGCTGGATGCTGGAGGAAGCAACCAGTGTCCACTCCCAGGAAACTCTGAGTTAGACAAACACATGTGGTTTTCAGGTTGTCCTTTCTTTCTCAGGTTTAAGAGGCTGAGTGATACGCAGAATAACTACCTGCTGATGTTCCTGTCCTCCTCGAGATGGATAGCACTGAGGATGGAGACCATGACCAACCTGCTGACCTTGACTGTGGCCTTGTTTGTGGCTTTTGGCATTTCCTCTGCCCCCTATTCCTATAAAGCCATGGCTATCAGCCTCATCCTGCAGGTGAGGGAGGGACTCTCAGACAGTAGGGGTTTGGCTTTTGGCTTATGGGCAGAATCAGGGGGGTTCATGGGGTTTTGGCCATTTGTGGCCTTATGAGTTGTGTGCTTGGCCTTCTGAATTTGCTGCTTTCCTGTTTTCCTGTCACCTCTGAACTGGGAAGTCTATATTTAAAGATATTAATGGAATCTTAGAGTATTGGGATTGAATGGAGCCTGCAGGCAGCCCTGTCCAAACTTCTTATTGTGCAGATGGGGACACTGAAGCCCAGAAAGGAAAAGATTTGTCTGAATGGATAGAGCATTAGAAGTAGGGCCAGAATAGGGCACCTGGGTGGCTCAGGCAGTTGAACATCTGACTTTGGCTCAGGTCATGATCTCATGGTTCCTGTGTTCAAGCCCTGCATCAGGCTCTATGCTGACAGCTCAGAGCCTGGAGCCTGCTTCAGATTCTGTGTCTTCCCCCGTCTCTCTCTGTCCCTCCCCTGCTTGTGCTCTGTCTCTGTCTCTCAAAAATAAACAAACATTTAAAGAAAAGAAGTAGAACCAGGGTAAGAACAAAGACCTCTTATTTGCTGTCTGGTATGTTTTCACTTTACTATTATTCTTTGACTCAGCTGTCAGGCTCCCTTGAGTTATCTAAGGAGGATCCAGTCCCTTCCCTGAAACAAGTCTTCTCAGACTTTTAAGTGCACAAGACTTGAAGAAGAGCACTTTGCCCCAGCCTTGCAGGCATATTCGGCCTGGGCACTGGTGCAACTGCCAGGAGAACCATGCTCTAGAGCACAGCCTTGGGGACTCAGAGTCAGGTCCTGGGTGGGTGGGGTCTCGGAATCTAATTTTAAAAGCAGGTTCTCTCTAGATGCTGGCGAGGATGTGGAGAAACGGGCACCCTCCTACACTGTTGGTGGGAATGTAAACTGGTGCAGCCCCTCTGGAAAACAGTGTGGAGGTTCCTCAGGAAATTAACAATAGAACTCCCCTATGACCCAGCAATAGCACTGCTAGGAATTTACCCAAGGGATACAGAAATGCTGATGCATAGGAGCACATGTACCCCAATGTCCATAGCAGCACTCTCCACAATAGCCAAAACATGGAAAGAGCCGAAGTGTCCATCAACAGATGAATGGATCAAGAAGATGTGGTTTATCTATACAATGGAATACTACATGGCAATGAGAAAGAATGAAATCTGGCCATGTGTAGCAACATGGATGGACCTTGAGGGTGTTATGCGGAGCAAAATAAGTCAGGCAGAGAAGGACAAATATCATATGTTTGCACGTATAGGAGGATTAGGAGGAACTTGACGGAGGAACAAGGGGGAGAAGAAGGGCGGAAATGGTGGGGGAAAGGGAGAGAGGCAAACCATGAGAGACTCTTGAATGCTGACAAAAACTGAGGGCTGATGGAGGTGGGAGGGAGGGGGAGATGGGCATGGAGGAGGGCACTCGTGGGGATGAGCACTGAGTGTTATGTGGAAACTAATTTGACAATAAACTATTTGTAAAAAAAAAAAAANGGGGAAAGGGAGAGAGGCAAACCATGAGAGACTCTTGAATGCTGACAAAAACTGAGGACTGATGGATGTGGGAGGGAGGGGGAGATGGGCATGGAGGAGGGCACTCGTGGGGATGAGCACTGAGTGTTATGTGGAAACTAATTTGACAATAAACTATTTGTACAAAAAAAAAAAAAAAGCAGGTTCTCTAGGGGATTCTGATGTAGCAGTCTGCACAGCTCCTGGCCAGAGTTCCTCCACGCCCAGTACACTGGGGCATGACAGGGTCTAGCTGGCCAAGTTCATGTCTGTAGGGTCAGTCCTGTGGAAGGGCTAGCCACAAGGGCCGTGAAGCCAGAGGCTGGCTCTGCAGCCATCTGGGGGAACCCTGGTTACACAGTTCCAACTCCCCGAGAGGGTGCTCATTACCTGCCTTCTCTGTGGTCATGTGGTTTTCTCTCTAACTGGCTTTGGATCTCATGTGCCCCAAGGGTGAGGCATCTTTTGGGTATGCCAAGGGGGCTCCATCTTGCTCATATTGAGCCCTTGCAGCAGGTATGTATTTGCACAAACGTGCAATCCTGTACATGCACAGCCATGCCTGTGTCTGCGGAACCTTCCCCAGGCACCCAGGCCATGCAGAGGGCTGTGCCGTGCTCACGCTCACAGACAGCTGACCAGTGCAACAACATGGAATGTACTGGACACTTGCACTGAGCTAGCACTTTGCTAGGTGCTTGTTGTGCTTTCTTGCATTGAATTTTTTTTTTCTGAGAGAGAGAGAGAGAGAGAGAGAGAGAGAGACAGCGTGAGCAGGGAAGGGGCAGAGAGAGAGGGAGACACAGAAGCTGAAGCAGGCTCTAGGCTCTGAGCTGGCTGTCAGCACAGAGCCCGACGCGGGGCTCGAACCCATGATCATGACCTAAGCGAAAGTCAGACGCTTAACCGACTAAGCCATGCAGGCGCCCCTCTTGCATTGAATTCTTACCACATTCCATGAGCTATAGTGAAGTGGTTAAGCTTGTGTGGTTTGAAATGTGGGTTTGGGCCAGGCTCTGCCCATTATTAGCTGTGTGACTTTGGGAAGCCTCTTACCCTCCTTGTGGCTGGGACTCCTCATTTTGTAAAACTGAGATAATACAAGTTCCAAAATTATAGATTTGTGAGGCATGTTTATAAACATGAGGACTAATGCATGTTAAACACCCAGGATAGTGCTTGGCCCAGAATAGATGCTCAGTAAATGTTAGCTGTTATTGTTCTTTGCTTACAGAGAGGAAACCAGAGCTTCCGAATTCAGTAACTTGCTCTGGGTCCCACCGCTAGTGAGAGACAGGTTTGTCCCTAGTGGATCACATTCATCTCTTCTCTCTCTCTCCCTTTCTCTGACACACACATGCATGCATGCACACGCGCGGACACACATGTACCAGTCCAGAGTTGCCACCAAACCTTCCAAAAGTCTGGGGAGAAGCACCACACTGGTGTCATAGGGGGCTTTGAGTCACTATGGCCAGATATATCTCCTGGTTCCCCTATGACATGGGCCAGGGGGGCAAAGCTTGGGACAATGTTGTCATGTGCTGGCCCAGGCAGGGGGGGCGGGGGCTCATCTCTCCCAAGGTGCACTGTGCACATGAAGCACCTCTCAAACATCTCCCCAGCTTGTTCCATCACAGAAAACTAGTGAGGAGTTTGCTGGAGGCCTGACTGCTTCAAAATGGCCCTGGATTGATTTTTTCTTCTCAGTGTCTGCTGCCCTTTTCAAGTGTCTCATCCCTCTGGGTAGCAACCTGGAAGCCTCCTCCCCTCACCTCCAAGCCCCTTCTGTCCACTTTCTACCTTCTCACCAGAGTGACCTTCAGTTACAGTTTTCCTGATGTCCTGCCTTGTTTAGAGCTCTCAGAGATTCCCTGTCTCCTTATGCCAAACCTAAGCTGTGGACCATGCCCTCAGGCCCCTCAAATCTGGCCTCATGACCCCAGCATACATCTCTCCTCTGGGCACACTGTTGCCTTGCTGACCTCTGCACGCACTCTCAGTGAAATTATGTTTCAAGCTTTGGGTGGCAGGAATCAGACACCATGTTGCTTTGCAACCTTAAGAACTGTAAATAATTGAGATGTTCCTGGCCTCCAGCCACCAAGCCCTAGAACCAGTTCAAAATGGCAGTTTTGAGACTTACTATGTGATGTATCCAGAAGGCTGGGGTAGGCTTTTCTTTGTTAATTTAGGACCTAGCATGAATCCATGAGCATTCTATCTTTTTGCCCTGGCATCCACAGCCTGGCTTCATCCTCAGGATTGTCAATTCAGGGTCACAAAATGGCTGTCGCAGCCCCAAGCAACACATCCTCACACAATAACCACCAAAAGTTAGAGAGGAGAGAACTTTTTTGTGCCCTGCTATAAGAACAAGGAGCAGCTTCCCCGAATACTCCCTTCTGACTCCTCTTCCTGCTTCATTTGTCGGAATTGTAGCATGGCTCACACCTAAACCCGTCAATGACAAGAGCAGTGGAGTTAACCAAGTCTGCCAAGAGCACCAGGCTGCCAGATACCTGAGCATAATGGGGGATGTGCTAGCAAGGAAGAAAGAAGGGACCAGCTACTGACTAGGCAGCCAGCCATGTCTGATAAACTGACTGGAGGAAAGGCAGTCTCCCTCGGCTCCTTTCCCACTGTCAGTGTCATTCATTATGACATCCACCTTCTCTGACTTCTAAAATTTTTTTTTAATGTTTTATTTATTTCTAGGAGAGAGAGAGAGAGACAGCGTGAGCAGGGGAGGGTCAGAGAGAGAGGGAGTCACAGACTGAAACAGGCTCCAGGCTCTGAGCTGGCAGTCAGCACAGAGCCCGACGCGGGGCTCGAACCCACGAACCGCGAGATCATGACCTAAGCGAAAGTCAGATGCTTAACCGACTAAGCCACCCAGGCACCCCAACCTTCTCTGACTTCTAAAGGGCTTTCCTTCCCCTACCCATACTCTCTGCTCCAGTCATAGACCAATGGCATGCAAGCCCCTGGATATACCCCACTACTTAACTACTTTCAGGACTTTGTCCCCTCTCTATGGAACGCCCTTCTCCACTCATTTTTAACTTGCTAAATCCCACCTCTGCTTAAAACGAAACCCCTATGCCAATTGCTTCAGGAGGCCTTCACTGTGGTCCTTTTCGGGAAAGGGGACCTTGCCTGGGGGCTCTAATGGCTCCCCAATGCCTCCCATGGTGAAGCCCATCCTTCTGTGCTGCCATTCTCTATGGACCCATCTGTCTCCCCACAGCTTCTTGAGGGCAGGGCCTGGGTCTGTTGCACTTTGGGGCACAGATCCTGGATTGGCACATGCCATACAGGCCTCAGGAAGTGTGCTGAATGAATGTATAATGACCTTGTTGTCCAGCACCCTCTGTGTGGCCTGTTTGCCTACATGTTGGACCAGGGGGATGGGAGGAATGAAGATTGGGGTCCCCGTCTCAGCTCTGCTTCCAAGTCCCAGGGGATTCTGTATATGTCATTTCCTCTTCTGGGCCTCAGTTGTCCTCATCTGTGCTGCCTCCCATTCCTGAGAGTTCCTGAGACTCCTCTTCCCCTGGGTTTCCCTAAAGGCAAGGCTGGAAACAAGGACTTGGGTGTAGGCAGATTATTTGGGAGGTTGTAAGAAGCACAGGAAAGGAGGAACTCCATTATGGGCAAGTGCCATTGAGATTACTGTTCTGGGTCACTAGCTCTCAACTCTACAGGCACCTCCGGAGAAGCATATAGGATGCTCCCTGGATTGACCCCAAAGGCTGAGGGACAGGAGCCTTCATCTCCTGGCTCCTTTCCCCATTATTTGAAAGGTGGCCCACAGGACTTTCACTCCCCTGTGTTTTGGGGCTGCAACTGTGCATGGATAGAGGGGGCTCCTGTGGTGTGAGTAAAGGTTTTGAGTAGAAAGCAGAAATACACACAGAGGGTACTTGAGGTGGGATAGTGTCAGTGGTGTCTCATGGAGAACTGCCTGCTATCATGCGGCTAACCTCAGATATGGGCTTGAGGGGTGGGGAGCACCAAAGTTATCTGCTCCACTCTTGTAAGGAAATTGTCTTGGTTGAGAAATCACTCAGGGAGAATGGTGATGAGTAGGTTTTTAGGGGCATTGAAATCCTAAGTACACCCCCGTTAGCTTCTTGACCTGATGCTTCTCCTTCACTGCAGCTGGCGTCCAACTTCCAGGCCACTGCCAGGATTGGTTCAGAGACAGAGGCATACTTCACTTCTGCAGAAAGGATGCTGCAGTACATGAAGGTGGGATGCAGGTCTGGGTTTGGTGTGGGGAGCTCTGGAAGTTTTCACACCCATGCCTTCCATGACCTCAGCTTCCATGACCTCTGCAAGCTCCAGCACCCCAGAGGTCCTGAGGCTTTTTCAAGGGGCAACTGTGGCCCATGGCCCTTCCTACCCATCTTCCCTGTACCTGTGGATGTCATTTCTTAGAAACTCTTCCATATCCTATGGCCCATTTTCATCACATACCCCACTGCTTTCCTGGATATAGAGAGAATAATCTGCCCTTTTTAGAAATGAGAGTTTTGCCCAAGTATAAAAACAATAATAATGTCAATAATAATTGGAATTATTATTATTGCTTCTATTTGTGTTAGAATAGTTAAGAACATAGATTTTAGAGCCAGATCACCTGGGTTCAAATCCAAGCTTTGCCACTTGAGACAGCTATGTAAACTGGGGACAGATCAACATATCTATTCATTGGGTTATTACAAAGATTAAATAACACAATATGTAAAGCACTTAGCATAATGCCTGGCCCACAGTAAAGCTTCAATATTTTTATATATAGATTATCTCATGGAAGCACAAAACAATTTTATACAGTTGATTGAATTACTATCCCCATTTTCTGGAGAAGGAAACTGAGAGTTGGCCAGACTGAGGAACCCTGCTTAAGATTGCACAGCCAGGGACTGGCAGAGCCTTTAAAACCAGTTCTCTGGACCCTGTCAATAGGAGCAGAATTTGTGAATCACAGAACTTTGATTTAACATGAAAGGATGCTATTGTACATCACACCTGTGGTGAAGAGCTTACGGTCAGGTGACTGTGCTTCTTTTCCATCATTTGGGCCTCAGGACTGTGTTTGATTCAGTTGTGGTCTTGGAGTCGGGCAGCCATGGTCTGAGTCCTCATCCACTCTGTGATCATATTAAATAAGTCATTTGACCTGTTTGAGCCTCTATTTCCTTGCCTGTGAAATGCATCTAAAATTACCTACCTTATCGATGAGGATAGAGGCAGCATTAGTCTACACAAGGCTGCTAAGCTATAAAACATGCCACACAGGGGTCAGTTAACTTTGGTGCCCTTATTGTCACTGTTCTAGATTCTATTTCCTTAGAGCCTCACATAATAAATTAGAAGACGTTCTCTATGTTAATAACAAGGGGGCTAGCTAAGTGGTTTCTCACTCTTTGTGGATAAAATTATGTGTATATCAGGTGAGTGGGACAGGATGTTCCTCTTGGAGTGCTCCTCTGATTACACAGCCAGTGGCTTCATCTCAGTGTGAGACAGGCTGAGGTGGGTTACACACCCAACAGCTGGAGGCCAGTGGGTCAGCAGAGGATGGGCAGAGATTAATGATTAGTATTGATTTCTTTTTCTTTTTTCAAAAATGAGATGTGTGTCCCCGAGGCTCCTTTACACACGGAAGGTATGAGCTGTCCTCCTGGGTGGCCACAGCATGGAGAAATAACATTCCAGGATTATCAGATGAAATACAGAGACAACACACCCATTATCCTTAATGGCATCAACCTGACAATTCATGGCCAAGAAGTGGTGGGCATCGTGGGAAGGACAGGCTCTGGTGAGTGGAGTCTCCTGGGGCACCCCCTGTCCTCAACTTTGACCTGTGGGTGTTGGACTCATTTCCATGTGTTTACTCAGTGACCCCACAGATATTTACTGGGTCCTTGTTTTATACCATGCGCTGGTGAACAAAATTCAAAGTCCTGCTATCATGGGATTCCACTGGAAAAGATAGGTGTTAAGCCATCAAATAAGTAAATAAATAAGGTAATTACAGATTGTGGAGAATGTCATGGAAGAGTAATGCGGTTGGGCTCTGGTGAGCTCTGGTGGCCTGGGCCCCAAGATCAACATTGAGCTGAGTCAGGAAGGATGAACAGGGTGCAGAGAAGGAGCGCTTCAAGTAAGAGGCAATACAGGGCTCTGCAAGGGTGAAGAGCAGGGCCAGGAGTGAAGTCTGGGTCCCACTTCTCCTTCCTTCTCACCATTCCTAGACCTCTCTTATTAGCCTCCTTCTTTGCCCTCTCCTTTCTGACTTCTTTCCCTCCCTGCCTCTCCTATTACTTCTGGGAGGTCTGGTCCAAGTGTAGCTCCCTCCTATTTTTGCATTGTTCAGAGACACTGCTCAGCCTTGATTCTTACCCCATCCTTGTGTGCCTAGGTGCTGCCTCCACCAGGTAGCCCTCCAGGAAGACAAGCGCCTTCATGGGTCTCCACCTCTTCTGGCCCCCTGCAGGCCTTGCACTCCTGCTAGGTGAAGAGCTTCCACCTGTATTCTTTAGTGCGTCCTTCCCTTCCTACTTCTTGCCTGCAATTGGCCTGAGAGGGCTGCAGTCTGATGTAGAGAAGCTACTATGGGTCTGGGGTGTGATGAAGGAGGGTGGGAAGGGCAGAGTGTTGCACTGGAGAGCACTGTTCTCTCTCAAAGAAGCAGCCACACTCAGCTCTGGCTGCTTGTTAGATGGGAGGATGTGGGACCAGTGTTGCCAGTTCTAGGTTTCAAGAAGAGCATGCAATTTGAATTTCTGTACATAGGATCTTTGGAGTTTTTTAATGCTGGCAAAAAATGTAAAAAATAACAGTAGCACTGTGCATGTGAAACAATATATAAATGGCTGGATTTAACCCAGGGGCTCCAGTTGTGCCCTCTGATCTGGGCTGTAAGAAAGCTGCTCATGGTGTGGGACACTACTTGCAGCAGAGACTCCACTCCTCTTCTGCTCTCTCAGGGCTCAGGATAACAAAGGATGGACCATGGAGGGGAGCAGGTCAGGTGTGAATCCAGGTGTGGCCTGTGCTGCCTCTAGTGCGGACCAGGAAAGTGAGGCCCTGCTTGTTTCTTGCCCAACAGGGAAATCCTCCTTGGGAGTGGCTCTCTTCCGCTTGGTGGAGGCTGCAGCAGGCCGGATTCTCATCGATGGTGTGGACATCAGCAGCATTGGCCTGGAGGACCTGCGGTCCAGGTTCTCGGTTATCCCTCAAGATCCTGTCCTGCTCTCAGGAACCATCAGGTGCAGCAGAAGATGGGGGGGCAGGACCAGGCTGCCAGAGCTGAGCTGTCTTTGGGTTGCTGGTGCCCAAAGCCTCAGTTTTGGGGCCTCTGAGCTCTCCTTGGCAAGTTGGGCCACTCACTGAGACTCACTGAAGTGTCCCTGAAGATTGAATGAAGCCCTGATATACACAAGAGCACTTTGTAAACTGTAATGTGGTAAAAAAAAAAATCAAGGCTTAATTTTTATTTTTAAAAAACCTGATGGGATTGGACAGAATTCAATTCACCATTAAGCATTTACATTGTGGCTACCACTATATTCTTTTAATGTTTAGACGTGCCTTATTCTCTTCTCTCCACCCACTGGAGAAAGCTGATGGGGGCCTGTTAGGTTGGACATTAGGACATATTTCTTCACAGTCCAGGCAGAGGAAAAGTGAGAAATATTCCAGGCAGTTCAGTCAGCAAAGCAAATAGAACTGGATCTTTCAACCTCTTCATCTTTCAATTTCCTCAGATGTTAACTCTGGGACTAAACTTTATCCAGATTCACATTCCTACTTAACAGTGCACGTTAGCTATGTGGGAATATCAGGGCATGGAAATTGAAGAAGTCTAATGCATTAAAAATTAAGCTAGATCCCTCATGTTTCAGGGATATTTAAGGGGCATTATCAGAGGCAAGTCAATAAACTGACCCCTAGAGCTCTGTTCAATCATATATTCATTTGTTTATTATTCTTTCCTCTGTCCCTTCCCCTCCTTGCTTCCTTCCTCCCTCCTGCCTCCTTCCTTCTCTCCCTCCAATTCCCTTCTTCCTTCTTTCCTTCTTTCCTCCAACTCCTTTCTTTCTCCCTCTCCTTTCCTCCCTCTTCTTCTTTCTTCCTTCCTTCTTTATTTCCTTCCTTCCTTCCTTCCTTCTTTCCTCCCCCCTCCCTTCTTTCATTCATTTAATTTGGCTTTTCTGGGCTTTTCCTAGGTCCAGACATTGTGCTAGGACCTGAGGACGCTCTGGTGAATGATCGCTGCCCATGTTCCCCCCGAGGAGTTCAGAGTGTAGTCATGCAGGGGGAGGGAGAGGAGGGGAAGGGGTGGTGCAGAGACATAAGAACCAACAGATTATAATACAATGGGGTATTTGCCAGATCAGAGATTATGAACAAAGTGCCAAAGGAGCCCAGAAGTAGGTCAAATAGCTCTAATTGGGTGAATCCAGAAAGCCTCCAAAGAGGAAGGGACATTTGAGCAGAGTCTTATAGGATAAGTAGGAGCTTGCCTGGGAGAAGAAGGGGAAGAAAGTCCTTCTAGGGGAAGTGCATAGTATGTGCACAAACAGGGAACTTTAAAATGGTTGTGTTAGGGGAATGAGATAATATTTGGTGATATATCTCCATGCTAAGCTAGAACCTGGACAAATCTATTGCACCTTGGTATAGGAGGAGTAAAAATATGAATTAACATTTTTTGAGCACTTATATGTGCTAGCCCATGCTTTAATGTTCTGTCTCATTTAACTGTCACCACAACCCTACCCTACGGGGTAGGCACTACTGTTATCCCTCCTTTATAAGGGAAGACACTGGACTTAGAGAGGAAAAGTGACTTGTTTCAGGAGACACACAAGTAAATGGTAAAGATGAGGTATAACCCCAAGTAGTTTCACCCTTTAACAGTGCTTGCAGCAGGGACAAGTGTGGACTAGAATAGAGAAGACTTGGGTTCTCTATCCTATAGTTTCATCTACCTCTGAGTGTCTCTGATTCCAGCCTGTTTCTCAGACTGACTTGTGGTGTGATCTTGAACAAACATTCGACACTGATAAACCATAATATTCCCATCAATGAAAGGGGTATATCCATCCCTTGAGGGGAAAGGGTGTCAGTGAGGCCGTCTATGAAAATGTTTTGGAGACTATCAAATACCATGCAAATAAGACATTTTACCTCCTCCTTCTTTACTACAATCTAGCCCTACACACAAAATGTGTGTGACTGCTAAAACTGGGGAAAGATAAAGCAGAGATTAAGAATAGGGTTTGATCAGGGGCACCAGGCTGGTTCAGTCAGTTAAGCGTCTGACTTCAGCTCAGGTCATGATCTCGCAGTTTGTGAGCTTGTGAGTTTGAGCCTCACATTGGGCTGACAGTTCAGAGCCTGGAGCCTGCTTCAGATTCTTGTCTCTCTCTTCCCCTCCCCTGCTTGTGCTCTGTCTCTATCTCTCAAAAATAAATAAAACATTAAAAAATATTTTAGAGAAAAAGAATAGATTTTAATTGGGACTGAGTGGTTGCATAACAGAGAAGAATTAATAATGTCGCCCATGCCAAATGGAAGTGCAAACCTTAATGGGTGTGAAGTCCAGATAGATCCCAACCTGATGTTGCTTGTATGATCAACTGGGATTTTTTTCACGGCAAAAGACAGAAAAAGCAATCCCACCACAGTGAGATACCACTTCAGTCCTACTGGGATGACTATAATGAAAAAAAGAAAAAGGAAAAAGGAACATAAGAAGTGTTGGTGAGGATGTTGAGAAATTGGAACTCATGTTCACTGCTGGTGGGAATATAAAATGGTACAGCCTCTGTGGAAAACAATTTGGTAGTTCCTCAAAAGTTAAATGTGTAATTACCATATGATCTAGCAATTCTTCTTCTAGGTAGATACCAAAAAGAGTTGAAAGCAGGACTTGAGCAAATATTTGTATATCAGTGTTATACACACTGTTTAATGGTTGCATGTGGTTATGGAATACTTCTCTTCCTCTATGGCAGATTCAACCTAGACCCTTTTGACTGCTATACAGATGAGCAGATATGGAATGTCTTGGACACGACATTCCTGAGAATGACAGTAAGTAGCTCCAAGACCTGATTCTTAGTCTTAGCCTGCCTCTTCAACAGTGGTGCTTCTTGTACCTCTGGGGTTCATCTTGCGTGATATGCTAGATGCTGCCATTTTGGGGCAGAGGTAAAATAATCTCATGGAGATGAGATTATTTTGGAATCCTAAATAAAGTCTGATGTCACTGATGACACCAACAGTGAGCCAAGCACATTCTAGGCTCAGGGGACACAGCAAAGGCAAAGTAGGTAAGGCGTTTGCCCTCCTGGTGCTTACATTCACTGGGAGATAAACACAACAAATAAACGGACACATAAGATACTTTCAGGTAGTGGTAATTGCTGTAAAGGTAGTAATGAGAACAACAGTTACTTCAGTCAGGGAGCTGCTCTTCTACGTGGAATGGCCAAGCAAGGCCTCTTTAAAGATGGAACATTTGAGCTGAGATCATATATTGAGGGGGCAGTAGAGGGCAGATCTTCGAGAGAACATTCCAGCACAGGAACTAGCATATACAAAGACCCTGAGATGGGAATGAAAGGTGCACAGGTAAGGAAGAGAAACATCAGTGACTGGAGTATAGAGAGGCAAGGAGTATTACAAAGTGTGACGGGGCAGGTCTGTTGGGGCCACGTTAGGTCTCACCCCACAGTGGCTTACATGCCCACATGCCTATGTAGTCTACATCTCATTTTCTCTGATATTACAGGTCTCAAAATTACCCCAAGGACTGCAAGCAGAAGTTGTGGAAAGTGGCAAAAACTTCTCTGTTGGGGAGAGGCAGCTGTTCTGCATTGCAAGAGCAGTCCTTCGCAAGTCCAAGGTGAGACCACGGAATGGCAATGGGAAGCCCAGTTTGAGTAATCACACTAGCTGTTTCCCTCTCTATCTCCATGGGACAGTGGGTGCTATGCTATATATCCTTTCCACAAATACCCAAAGGGCTTCCTCATGTCACTGATTGCCATTCTGCCCATATCTATGGTATGGGAGAGGAGTGTGGGGGGCACTCAGACTGGGCTCTCTCAAACCTTGATACCCTGCAGCTAAGCTGAATGATCCACTGTTACAACTAAATCATGATGCGTTTCCCTTGCAAAAAGTTAAAGTTTAGAAGCTTATTAACTTAATAGTTGCCTATCATATATTCTTATTAAAACTTGGATGTAAGACATTCTCTTGTGTTTTTGTTTGTTTGTTTTGTTTTCTTGAGAGAGAAAGAGCACAAGTAAGTGAGGGGCAGAGAGAGAGAGAGAGAGAAGTCAGGCCCACCTGAAGTGGGGCTCATGCTCACCGCAAAGTGGGGCTTGAGCTTACCCAATGCAGGACTCAGACTCATGAAACATGAGATCATGAACTGAGCTGAAGCCAGGTGCTTACACGACAGAGCCACCCAGGCACTCTCCTTTGTCTTTATTACAGTTGGAAATCAGATGATAGCTGTTCCAGGACAAATTAATTAATTAAATTTCAAGTGTAGAATTTAGTGATTTGTCACTTACATATAACACCCGGTACTCACCACAACAAGTGAGAAGTGCCCTTCTCAATACCCATCATGCATTTAACTCATTCCCCTGCTCACCTCCCCTCCTGCAACCCTCAAGTTTGTTCTTTACAGTTAAGAGTCTATTTTCTGGTTTGCCTCTTTCTTTTTTCCCCCAGGTTCATCTGCTTTTTTTCTTAAATTCCACATGTGAATGAAATCATATGGTATTTGTCTTATTCTGATTGATTTATTTCATTTAGCACAATATTTTTTTTACAAATATTTTATTGTCAAGTAGGTTTCCACATAACACCTAGTGCTCATCCCCACAAGTGCCCTCCTCCATGCCCATCTCCCCCCTCCCCTCCCACACCCATCAATCCTCAGTTTGTCCTCAGCATTCAAGAGTCTCTCATAGTTTGCCTCTCTCCCTCTCCCCCACCACTTCCCCCCTTTCTCTCCCCCATGGTCCTCCGTTAAGTTCCTCCTAATCCTCCTATACGTGCAAACATATGATATTTGTCCTTCTCTGCCTGACTTATTTCGCTCAGCACAACACCCTCAAGGTCCATCCATGTTGCTACACATGGCCAGATTTCATTCTTTCTCATTGCCATGTAGTATTCCATCGTATAGATAAACCACATCTTCTTGATCCATTCATCTGTTGATGGACACTTAGGCTCTTTCCATGTTTTGGCTATTGTTGAGAGTAGTGTTATGAACATTGGGGTACATGTGCTCCTATGCATCAGCACTCCTGTATCCCTTGGGTAAATTCCTAGCAGTGCTATTGCTGGGTCATAGGGAGTTCTATTGTTAATTTTTTGAGAAAC